ATTTAAACAGGTTTTGGCGCTGTCTTCCTACCGGTGGAGGCAGGACGACAGCGTCATCTACTGTCCCACTTCCTCAGGACAGTATCCCAGGTGTGTGAGAGTAAAAAAGCCCCTCATCCCGGTTTACAGTCCTGTGGGCACGTTTCCGTATTTCGATTGCTCCTTTAATCCAGCGGCGATGTTTGTTTTCCTCTGTCCCAGTGATGTTTGCTCTGTCCCAGTCCATAATGTGGTTTTCTCTTTTACAATGGTCGGAAACGGCCGATTTGAGTTGTTTCTGTTCTGCTTTGTGTTTTGTTGCTCGTGTGCGTGTGCACACTTTCGCTGTTTCCTTCTCGCATTCTGTTCTATGTTCCTTTTTCCGTGTACTGAACGCCCTCCCTGTTTCCCCGATGTATGTTTTATTGCAGGACATGCAGGGTATTTCGTATATGACATTACATTTATGCTCCGGTTCTATTTTGTCTTTCGGGTGGACGAGTAATTGTCTGAGTTTTCTGTACAGTTTCACTGGTGTGTTGATATTGTGTTTTTTCATTGGCCTCTGTACTTTTTCTGTTATGCCCCTGATGTATGGTAATGTTCCCATGCCTGTGCTCCTTTTTTCAGTTTTGTTTTTGTTTCTCTGGTTCTGTTTTTTTTTTCTCTCTAACCTGTTGTTTCCCTTTGTGTATTGCCCATTTTGGGTATTGGCATTGCCTTAGCACGTTGTGAATGTGTCTGTCTTCTTCCTGTTTGTCTTGTTCATCTGTTATGCTGTTGCTTCTGTCATACAATGTTCTTACAACGGAGAGTTTGTGGGCTGTGGGATGTTCTGATGTCCATAAGAGATACTGGTCAGTGTGGGTTGGTTTTCTGTGTATTTTTATTTTGATGCTGCCATCTTCCCTGTGTGTAATGTTCATGTCCAGGAAATTTATTGTATTGGTTGTTTCTTCTTTGTGTGTGAATTGGATGTTTCCACACTGAAAAAAGTGAAACATTGCTGTTGTTCATTCAATATGTTTTTTCCCATTGGCTTAAAGAAAGAAAATCAAATTGGCTGGTACAATTTAAACAATACACATTCAATCTTGTGTTTGTATTCATTTTTCTACGTACATCTAATTGGCTAAAGCAAATCAACAGTCATTTACAATAGTTAATTGATCCAATGAATGTTTGTTCATTGAGCATGTTTTGCACTGTGCCAAGTCAGTCCATCTAACATAGGGGGCAGCACTGGCAACAGCCTTACTTGACTCTGCCTAATAACGCAGTAGAATATGATATGTATGCCATGTGCTCTGGCCTCCATTTTAGAATATGAAGTATCTTTTACAAATTCTTAGAATGCGTTCAGATGCATACATGCAGACTGATAATAAGCATTGAAAATTATATTTTGTGCTAATCTACTCATGTTTTACAGGTACAGCAAGAATAGAGTGTGGTGGAGGAGACAATGGCAGTTGTCATAACACCGACAGATGTGAAAATTGTGTTGGAAGGTGAAGAGGTCCTGGCTAATCCAAATTCAGTGGTTCAAGCTTTTGTCATGCTGTTTGGTCTCATATATACTCTAAACATGCAGTACCCGAAGAAATGTGTACATACATGTCAGTTCATTCAGAAAGTTCTTATGGGACTGGATGGGAAAAAACTGAGTCCCAAAGTTTACAAACTGAGTGTCTTGCTACATAACAAGTAGTTGATATTTCAAACTTGCACACTTATCCATACAAAACTTTGTATTTTCAGTTTTATTGTTCACTCATATGTTTTTAAGACAGTTAAACCTTGGTTGAAATTTTCTGCAAATCCACAGGTGAACTTCTCCCTTTTTTTTTTTGTTCAATTGTACAAACTGTACCACTGTAGGACCAAGGCAAGTTAAGAGTTTTTTTTGTTTTGTTTTTTTTGTTTTTTTTAAAAGCTGAAAAACAAGTTAAAGGACATATGATGGCTTACCTTATATTTGTTTAGTAGTAGTACCGGTTGCTGTGTAACTACTTGCATATCGTTGTATTTAGTGATCACTTTTATGCACTGTTAAATAAAAATAAAAAGTAAAATAATTCAATGTGTTGTGAAATTATTGAGATTATAGGACCACTATAAATAGGAGAAACAAGTTCAGGTAGATTGGATTAATCTATAACAAGTACATTCATTTAATCTGAAATTTTAAATTGGCCCATAAATGCTAATGAATTTTAAAAATTTACTCGGTTAACTTTTGCGCATTGAGGTAATGAATGTTTTCTTGTTGAACCAATTTATAATTCATTAACTGTTACAATTCAAAATGTTTTAGTTGGACCAATTTACAATATTTAGATGTAAATGATTTCTATATCAATTGTAAGTTAAACCAGTGTTAAATTTTTTTCAGTGTGGGATATTCACAATCCCCCTCTTGTATAATTTTAGTGTCTAATATATCAACATAAAGAAGCAATTTAATGCTGGTTCTTTTCATGTTCCAGTTGTGGATGTTCCAAAAATAAAATGGCTAATTTTGGCCTTTTAACACATGTTTGTATGAAAACATGCCATGATGAAACACTTGTAATACATTTTTCTTACATTTCTGTGGGTAAACTACAGAAAAGTTTCAAATTAATATCTCTAAATTTTAAACAATTTATCTGCAGTGTTTCCCTTAAGAATGCATTTTGAAAACTACTGAATAGAATAAATGATGGGTGCAGAGTTTAACCACAAGGCTAAAAGATAAAGTTGCTACGTGCAATAGCCTTCCTCAGTTCTGATATAATCAACTGCAGACAACCCAAGCAGAATACTCTGCTCTCCTCAAGTCTTCTTGCCACTTTATTTTTCTGATGAAGAATGGAGCATTTGGAGCTAGGATGGATGCTCCTCTACCTCATTACAATGGCTGCATCCACACCCTTCATAGGTAAATCACAAATATTTGATTTTGCTTTTGTATCATTGTCATTGCTGCCTGTGTTGCTTGGCCTGTTAGGCATCATAACCTACTATTATACAAGTATTTAGCATGTATTTTTATTTTACCTAAAGATATACATTACTATCATGCAATAGAATGAAAGAAAATTGCAGCGTTAATGTTGTATGTGTTATATTTATTATTTCAAAAATAATCTATCAACTGCAATTACAAAAATACACCTGCAAGCCAAGAATAATCATCCCTTGCTCATGCAGCGCACAATGTAAACTTGTCACCCTTTGCCATTGAAAAAGAACATTCACATGTATTATGCATATCTGCCAACAATTTAAAATCAATCAATCAATAAATGAATTTAAAAAGGGGGAGTGGGTGGGGTAGAGGCAATAACCCTGTTTGTATCAAACAGCTTCAAATGGAACAGTTGCACTTGGGTCAGTGTGCGTCTGCAAGAGCCAATCAGCTGCAGGCTGAGCTCCTGTGCTAGTGCTGGGGAATGATGCACTTGCTTATGTTCACTCGCTCTGTTTAACTGGCATCCAGTTTCAACCTGGTAGATTTAGTGAAAGGCCCTGTAGCTGTTAGATCCTGCACCAGGGCGGAGACTGACCAATCATAGGGCAGCGCTATGGTTTGGCAGAAACCAGTGACGAACAAACCAAACATGGCAAAAAAATGGCAACCAACATGGCGCTGACAGACCTACTTCAGCCTTTTTAAACAGAAATATGACTATTTAGTTTGGGAAAAATTAGCAGAGGAAAGTGATTTGTGCGTTTTTATATCCTACTGTTTGGTGACATGGATTCATATTATGAAATGTATGTAACACACACAAGGCCTTAACATATGTTTCAGTCTTTCAGATTTGCTTATTTGAGCATTTGTGCATTGGACAAGTAGACAAATATAAAAATTAAAAGGATGAGTTCCTTTTTCCCAGACCCACAACTTAAGTAAATATTAAAGCAGCAAGGCGGGTTTTTACCTATGTTCCACTTACTCCATAGATGGAGGAAGGTACCGGGGAATAGAACCTTTTTGAGGTGACTGTAGAAGCCTGTCAGAGATGTTGGTCATTACAGAAGTTGTTATTGTTAGGTTGTTAATTTTACATGGTGTCCATCATTACAGAGGACATGTTTTAAAATAAAAAAGGTGTTCATTTTAGATAGAATCCTATATCCTATATCATATATATATATATATATATATATATATATATATATATATATATATATATATATATATATATATATATATATATATATATATATATATATATAGTGCTGTCATGCGATTAAAAAAAATTAATTAATTAATCTCATTTTAATCTCACCTAAAAATTGCTGCGAAAAGCCTTCAATTTGAGGTATTTTCATTTAAATTCATTATTACATTATTGTTTCAGATCAAAAGACTGATATAGATTAAAAAAAAAAGTGACTTTATAAAGTCATTTATTGTTTAACAAATCTCTCCAATTTGGCTGTTGAGCCCAAGTCTCCATGAATAAGAAACTGTTTGCTGTAAAGTAGCAAAGACGAGGAAATCTGAACATAATAACTTTTGTCTACTTAAAGACAATAAAAAATCCAGTCTTTCCTTAACCATATTAAAAATATTATTGATAGAGAAATGCTTTATATATATATATATATATTATATATATATATATATATATATATATATATATATATATATATATATATTTATTTTTTATTTTTTTTTTTTTTTTTGTTATATAGTCATATATATAACTTGTAATACATTTTTCTCAAATTGTCCCTATTCACCTGCAGTGTCTCCCTTAAGAATGTATTTTGAAAACTACTGAATGTCATTTCTACCCACATATCAGCATATGACAGTGAGCTGAGTAATACACCTGGGGCAACCAACTCTATAGAGCAAACAGAGAAATGGTTCTTATCTCAAGTAAAAGTCATTTTTTCCATTCAGTTGTCAGTTTCTGTAGAATAAATGATGGGTGCAGAGTTTAACCACAAGGCTAAAAGATAAAGTTGCTACGTGCAATAGCCTTCCTCAGTTCTGATATAATCAACTGCAGACAACCCAAGCAGAATACTCTGCTCTCCTCAAGTCTTCTTGCCACTTTATTTTTCTGATGAAGAATGGAGCATTTGGAGCTAGGATGGATGCTCCTCTACCTCATTACAATGGCTGCATCCACACCCTTCATAGGTAAATCACAAATATTTGCTTTTGCTTTTGTATCATTGTCATTGCTGCCTGTGTTGCTTGGCCTGTTAGGCATCATAACCTACTATTATACAAGTATTTAGCATGTATTTTTATTTTACCTAAAGATATACATTATTATTATGCACTGTGCATATCTGCCAACAATTTAAAATCAATCAATCAATAAATGTATTTAAAAAGGGGAGTGAAAATTGATATGTGTATCACTCTGAACTGAATTACACAAATAGAACAACACTCACTGAAAGGTTTAAAAAAAGAAGGGACTTGCAGCAAAATGCCTCGAGCAGAATGAAACAATCAGTACCCACCCATCATAGTGTCTTTTTAGCCAATCACAGCAAACCTGTCAAAATGATGTATCCAACTTGTGCCAAGTGAAACCAAAACAAGTCATGCTGGAGAGGGCAGATGTCCATAAACTAATTTAGCCATTTTTTCAATACAAATTTGAGTATTAAGGACATCACAGTTCACCAGTGCCGACATGTTTGTTTTGCCCTGTGAAAGCCTGCCGCTTAGCGTTGCAATAATGTTTTCTGAAACCCCTAGACCCTGTGATTGAGCTGACCACTGCTCAGGTCGGATTTAAACTGCACAGCAAGAGCACCTCAAGATGGCTTCTCTTGAGTTTGTTAACAAGTCTTGCATTGACACTTCTGTATGAAGTAGTTGAGATATGTGTGTATTTAAGCAACTGGTTCAGTGGGCTAGTTTAAATGAAGAACAATGAGCCTCATTCATGAACCTTTTCTTTAAAAATGTTAGTAGCTTCCACTTTAAGAAGATGCTGAGAGAACTCTGAGCCAGATTCACAAAGCCTTTTTAAGCATCTACATTCTTTCTTGAATGACAGTTGCCCCTAATTCACCAACATCCAGCTGTGAAGACCACAGCACTCATTTACATTTCATTTACATAAAAGTGTGTATGTATTGAGTAGGAAATACCCTCTGAACCCATTATGACATGTGAAAGCGTGAGAAAGAGGGTGATCAAGTAAATCAGGTGGCATATGTCTACAGGCTACTGCTGTTTTGCAGCTTCAGCTACATTTTAAAATGTCTAAGTTGACATGAGCACACTCAGGAAGAGAATATTCAGTCATAAACCTATTGAAATAAGCTGCTGCTTTCATCATTTTTATCATGCTTTCTGTGTGTTGCAGACCTGGAATAAATAAAGAGGGAAGGGTTGGGGTACATATAGTACACTCTGGTCATGGAGGGTCAGGGGCATTATGGGGTGTTGAGTCCAGCCTGATGACCAGATGCACAGCTGGAGCAGAGGTCAATATGGAGAACATTGAGGCTGGGACACACTGAGGCTCACCACAGACTGTTTGACCCTATAGACGTCATGTTGTATAGAACTCTTCATAAATGTTATTGGATCACATAGTAATACTTTTTATAGGAAATAATTTAAGAAAATAAATTACATACCATCATGGAAAAAATTTTATATAATGAGTGCTCCTCACTGTTGATTTGTTCTTCAAAAAGAACATTTTCAGTTAAGAAAACATATTGTGAATGCCAAAAAAATGTTCATGAGAAGACCTTAAGTACAAATTTCATAAGATTGCTTCATGAATGAGGCCCATGTTCCAGCACCGCAGTTCACTTAAAATGTGTCTTTTCAGATGCTAAGTGCAACTGTGTGACTGATTACTGGGACTCGCTTTCCTGTGTGCTGAACATCACTGGTACAAGAGATTCCAGCCCCTACACTCTGATCTTCAGTGGGTAAGGCCTTTTAAATGCCTCTTTAATGCAGGTCTGCATATTGAGAGGTGCAAAATGGTGCATTGCTTATCCTTAACTTTAAAAATACCTTCTCGTTTGAGGGACATTATAAAATCCTCCAATTAAGGAAGTCCTGACCAAGTCTAGCCTTCTGCTCTCTCTTGCTCCAGCCACTGAAGGATTTTGACAATAGTATAGGAATTGACAATAATGTAAAATGTACCTCACCTTATATATCGTGACACTTATAAAGGGTCTTTTTGTTTCAGTAACTGTTCAGAGAAAAAGAGTGAGTTCACGTGTGAGTTGGTGCAGACCCACGGTGAATACAGATGTGCTCGGAAAATCCCCAGAGACTGCATGTTCATTGAGACTCTTCTCACCATCGATCTCCAGCACAATTTGTCCAAATTCCCAGTGCAGCCCAAATTTGAGCCTGCACAATGCAGTAAGTGAAACACATGGATTCTATTAGTTAATTGCACTGATCAGTGGTGGGCCGTCAGGGCCTGCAAGTCCTTCTCTGCTGGCCTAAAATAAATATCAGAATCACAGACTGATGTTAATTATATTATTATTATTAAATAATTCCAAATGGTCTGTCCGCTTCCTTTCAGAGCATTTCCAGTGGTTGTGCTGCTTCCAGACAAGTATTTTCATATTAAAGCATTTGACCCATCACATTTCAACAATCATTTGTTGCGAGGCAGAGTCAAAGTCAAAGAAGTCTGAGACCTTCACAATCCGTTCTGCAGGCCATCGAACACAAAATAAATGTCCATGAAACTGTTGCTTCAACCAGTCAGATTTTGAGTTGGAATCGCCAGGGCCTTCTAGTAGAGTACAGCAATGTCACTGGCTTCAGAGCCGTTGATTGGACAGTCAGAGAGCGAACAAGCCAAAGTAGCAAACTGCATCTGTAGCAGAACCAGGACCAAACCAGGATTAAACCAGGTCTAAATCAGGACTAAGAGAGAGCGAGAGAGCGAATGCTGAGCCCATGGACCAAGGTGTCCACAAAGCGCAATCGGGCAACAGCTGCACAGAGCCCCATGCGGAGCCCCGGCCCCGGCAAGCTCCTTTCACCTGCAGTCACCCAACAGTCTACGCAGGCACACCTTCAGGCCCGTTCCAACAAACAGTCCTGGTTTAGTTCTGGTTTAGCACTCCAGCTTTTCTCACTTCTTTTCCATGCACTGTGCATCCCCCTCTCTTCACTTCTTCTCCGTGCACGGAATCTCCACAGCTCTTTATACTGTGTTTCTGTAGAATAAGATGCTTTTATAACCATAAAATAGTTATTGAGGAGTGGACTGTTTCAGACGAAGCACTACTGAAGGCATAGGTGTGAAATGCACAGTCCACCACTGGCACTGATACTTAATTTGTCAAAACAGTTACTCTGATCAAGTTCAAAATCACCTAAAAGTAGGATGTTACTATTTATTGCAGCATTATTACTATGTACTGATAACCATAAGAAGGATTTAAAGAGGGCCTGGGAGAAATTTCTACATTACTCAAACATATACTAGTATGTGGATGACATATAAAGTAAATACCCCTTCTTGGGCTAGTGAAGCGTCTGGCACCTACTCTAATCTTGTATAGTTGCAGAGCATGGGAGGGGGACAATGTTGACAGAGCTATATAAATGTGATGCATTATCATTATTATTAGATGGACACGCAATGGATTTTGACATTTTTTCTGATACCTGATTGATTGACTGTTTTGAAAAATAAAATGTGAATAAAAAGTGATAAATTAACATGTCAAAAATGATCAAAATATAATAAAAATCTTAAACCAAAATTAGTTTCCTGCAAAAACACATCGATTCTGGTAGGTATTGGTAGGTCATGCACCCAAGGGTTAATATCTGGTATTGGTAGGTACTTAAAGCCTTAGGTGCATCCCTAGTTTACAACACACAAGCAGATAATTGTATTTGTTGTTTTTGTCTGCAGTACAAACTCGTGCCCCTTATGCCCCAGTCGTGACACAGACAGCAAACCTGTGGAACATCACTTGGACCACTAACTACGAGGGCCATATGTATCTGAAAGACTATCTGGATTTTGAGCTGCTCCTCCAGGGCAAAGTAAGCATATTATATATATATATATATATATATATATATATATATATATATATATATATATATATATATATATATATATATATATATATATATATATATATATATATATATATATATATATATATAAAACAGTCTTCTCCTCTCAGCTCCTCAGCTCACGCCGAACACCTTATCTATGTGTGGAAAAGACCAAACTCCAGTCTAGTTCATTGCTGTGTGCCCGTGTGCGTTCCAAGCCTTCGCCTGAGGACTACGGATGGGTGTGGAGTGAATGGAGCAATGAAACCTGCTGGAAAACAGATTTAAACACTGGTAAATAGTAATATGTACATAAAAGTCCAAGTTACATATTATGTATGAACCAATAATCACAAAGACATCATTAGTTTCATTAAATAGTATTTATAATATTTGTCCTAGCAGGGCAGAACGGTAGCACACTTGTGATTTGGAAATGTTTGGGAGCACTGTGTGCCCTGCTCCTCACTATTCTTTCCATCTCCACATTAAGGTGTGTTACAACTCCAGCTTTACTCTCAAAAGGTAACTGCCCATACTGACCTACTGACTGATGCTCTGCTTTGAAAAGGTACTACATGAAGACGATGAAAGCTCAAATACCATCACCTGCCCCTTTTTTCCAGACTCTTTTTCATCAGTATGATGGACATCTAAAGGCAAGTATTTATTTTGGCTTATGTTAAAAAAGGGTGCATTTAAAGCTACACTGTGTATCTTATCTGTAGAAGGGCATGCCACCTGACTGTTTCTATGGAGATTTTTTAACTGGCTTTCTTGTACTGTTTACCAGATTTTATATTTTTTTCAGATGCCAGTTGTAAAGTAAATACCATATTTTTCTGACTTGTTAGGCGTGTTCTCTCAAAAATAACAACTGGAATCGATTGATTAAAATCACAAAGAATTTATTCCCTATTCAATACAATTCTAAAACAGAGCTCTGGGTCAGATTGCTGCCCATGACGGCCTACATCTACACAGCACTTACATCAGGCGATCTGAACGCCTGTGTTTCCCTTAACCCAGAGATGTAAAACATCAATATGAATATGCAAATGACAGGTGCAGCAGATGCACGCCTTGGATCTTCCTTGGAGTATCTCTGCATTCCTTCAGGGTGAGGGGATCACAGCCAAGTTTAAATCACTGCCAAGTTTGTTTGGATTCGCCCCAGCCGAGCCATCTCCACTGCTGCCGCCCTGCAATGAATTTCCTTAAAAGGACACAACCTATATCTCTGCTCAGGGATTACCTTAAAAGCATATATGTTTCACATAGTGGTACCTTTAAACATACATAAGATTTCAGTGTTATGCATTAACTCAATGTGTAACTCCATTAAACAATATTCAAACAAATATATAAATTCAATGTTTAATATGTACATGTGATGCACTCAAGAAACTTCACCACTTGGTACAGCCTTCAGACTATAAATCACACTTTTTTATGGTTTGGGTGGTCCTGCAACTTATACACAGGCACAACTTATATATTACAATAATAGTAAAATTTCACATGTCCATGTGCTTTGGGTAATGACCAAAAGGACAAAATCGCGGACACAAGCGGCTGAAATGAGTTTTCTCAGCAGGGTGGCTGGGCGCACCTTTAGAGATAGGGTGAGGACTTCAGCCTTATGAAAGGAATTTGGAGGAACTTCCACGTCGAGAGGAGCCAGATGAGGTGGCTCGAGCATGTGTTCTTGATGACTCCTGGACACCTCCCTGGGGAGGTGTTCCGGGCATGTCCTACTGGAAGGAGGCCCCGGGGAAGACCCAGGACACGCTCGAGTGACTCTCTGTTGGCCTGGGAACGCCTTGGGGTCCTCTGGAGGAGCTGGAGGAAGTGTCTGGTGTGAAGGAAGTCTGGAAGTCCCTGCTTAAACTGCTGCCCGTGCGACCTGGCCCTGGCATTATTTTCACACTGACAGCTGCGAGAGGGCGCGCTAGGATTTCAGGCTCTCCCATGCCGGGGGCTAGGACAGCTGTATTGATGAGGCTACTGAAGTTTGAGACGTTTCTTCTTGTCATTTATACACTCACCATATTCACACATATGGGTCATTAAGACGTATCCCACTCACTAACGTTCATTTAGCATCATAACTTATTTTATCAAAAGATGATAAACTTTTAATCATATTCTGCAGATTACAAGTAATCAAGCAACAGAAAGGAGGTTTGGAGTGAGTGAGAAACTTATGAGGCACTGTTGGAAAGAGAAGGATACTTTAACAGCAATGAAAAAAACAAACACAAGCTAATTGTGGGCTAAGTTGACGAAGTTGCTCTGAAGTGACACAGAGGATGAAGAATTCAATGGATTTAGTGATCTGGGCCCTCATTTATAAAAAACTGTGTAGGAGTTGTTGTAAACTAGTGCGTACGCCTCGCAAACTCCATATTTAGAAAACCCACCGCACTGTGCTTTATAGATTCCACCTGCACCTAGACCCACGTCACGTCATGCCCTCTCCACACCTCCACCTCACCATAAAAGAACAGACCACGTCCTCTCCACACCTCCACCTCACCATAAAAGAACAGACCACGTCCTCTCCACACCTCCACCTCACCATAAAAGAACAGACCACGTCCTCTCCACACCTCCACCTCACCATAAAAGAACAGACCACGTCCTCTCCACACCTCCACCTCACCATAAAAGGAGCATGTAAAGTGACTCACGAATGAGATTTCCCTAAACATGATCAACACCCCAAAACGATCATCAGTGGGTTTGACGGAGACATGCGGGACAGAGGGAGGGGGACGCCCCACGCAGCACCACGTGATCACGTCAAAGACAAGGTTTAACAAATAAATACAAAGGAAAAAGTGACAACAACCACTCATCTGTTCATTTAATCATATTTCATAATATTTAGGCATATATCTTTGCAGTAAAGCCCATGTGTTTTCTTACTGTTTGAGGTTTATCTCAATATTTTTAAGTCTGGCCCTGTATATATATATATGTATATATATATATATATATATATATATATATATATATATATATATATATATATATATATATATATATATATATATATATATGTGTGTGTGTGTGTGTGTGTGTGTGTGTGTGTATACATGTACATACGTGCACGTGGTGGTCTGAATGGTCAAATCATGAGCGTGTGAGAGAGTGTCAGATGCCCTCCCCTGGACAGTGAAAGGAGTGAGGGAGGGGTACGAGGATACGAGGACACAGATTTAGCTGTGGGAAAACTGTGGGAGACCCTGTGTTGCACCAGGAACATACACGAGTTTCAAATGTATAATATTGTGGAGAATAATGAGTGGAATAAACAGCCCTTCTCCGTGTTTTGGAGAACCAAACACTTAAATGCACAAATCTGATGGTAATTCTTTTATATATGTGGATTTTCTGTTAAGTTCATGAACAAACTCTGTTCGCGTCTGCTCCTGTCCATGAGTGTCGCTTTTGCCTCATGTCTCCAGACTTTGCGTAGAGCTTATGGGAGGTCCTGAGTTGGCGTAGACTTAAGCAAAGTGCCACACTCAAGACAAATTTCATAAATTCTGTGGTTGGCGTAGAGAGCGCATATGCAAGGATTTGTGCGTAAGCGAGCTTTATAAATGAGGCTCCTGGAGTGAGATGCAGAGTTTGGTAAACTTGTTCTGTTCTGTTTATGTTATGTTATAATTTATCTATAGAACTGTTCATATGTCACAGCCTGTTGTTCTCTGTTCTACTGTTATTACTATAACTTGCCTTTCAAGATGAAATGTCTGATTTCATAAAATAAATTTCCCCCAGAAAATGCGACTTATAGTCCAATGCGACTTATATATGTTTTTTCTTCTTCATTATGCATTTTATGGCTGGCAACTCCAGAGCGACTTATAGTCTGGAAAATATGGTATTAAGGAGGATTGTAATCTTTTATATTTGTTATTTGACTGTACCTATTTTATATTTTGAATGTGTTTTGAGCTCTTCTTTAAAAAAAAAAAAAAAGGTATTAGTCACCGTCAAAACTCATAACTTTAATTTGTAAGATTATGAACATAGATATATGCAACAGGTCCATAGATTTAGCTTCAATGTATTTTGGGGGAATTAGCATTAGCCATCAAACATAGCACACTATATAGCACAACTATATAAACAAGCATATACACAACAACTGTTTGTCTCTGCAGTGTATGATAATAAGACACTCAAAGTTGCTTTAAAATTTGGTGCATTATTCATTCCATACTCGGCGGTGGTAAACTACTATTGTAGCCACAGCTGCCATAGGGACAAAAGCGAGGCTGCCAATCTGTGCTATCAGCCCTTCTGACCATCACCATCACTCACGCACACTTCACTTTCATACTAGGCAATGTGTGCGACGTGTCTTGCAACAACACCTAAGGCACCAGTTTTTATGACTGGCGCCACACTGTAGCATCTGATTTTCCCAGCGGTCTCCCATCCATGTACCAGATCTGGCCTTGCTTAGCTTCTGAGATCTGACAGCATCAGGCTTTGACGAGTTGGTATGACCACAACATACCAGCCTGAAGTGTTATTACAGACAGATTCATAATTAAATGTCTTATATTACACAAAATGGATTCTTGTGAGCTTTAAGTCATGTTATAATGTTATTACATCATCAAAAACATACCTTTAGTTGAGTTTTGTTTCATTCAGTCTACATTTCACAAACTCAACATGCTCTGTTCAACCTTGTGATGTCATGTAGTGGTAGTTTTCAAGTTAACAGCATCTTTTACCTTTAGTTCAGTAGAGATGAGCAATTCCAGGGCTGAAATGATCCAGTCCATTACAAACACTTCCTCTGTTGGGGAGTATTTTGAGTTTGAGAGAAGTCTCTAGATATGTTTTTGATGAGGAACATCATAACAGAAAATAGCATAGTATTGAAATGAAGGCCTTCTTACAAACACTTTTGGTATTCAGTTTTTTTTTTTTCCCTTAACTGAAAAGAACAAATCCTACCAACAGAAATTCTGCAGGTTTTGAACATTATTTTTAATAATGCTACCAAAAATGTAATTTCTGTATGATTTATAACTTATATATTTATGAAGTGTAATGTATTGGAGCTGTCCCACATTTAATTAATTCTGTTTTGTGTTTTTTAGGATTGGATCTCTGCTCATCGTAGTTTTGTGCTTGAGGACAAATTGACCACTGACATTGTGATTATTGAGTTCATTTCGAAGAAGCCAGAGGAGCTCCAGGACTTCCAAAGCACATCATATCCCTTGGATGTGGTCCGGAATGACAGCTCTTATGTGGGCATAGCCGATTTTGAGTCCCCAGCACTTTTAACTGCCCTGTGCCCAAACTCCAGCACATCCTATACCCAGTTTCCAGCTTTCTTGTGGGGAGAGTCCAGACCTGTTGAGGCAGATGAGGCACTAAAGCCCTCTTTATAGAATAGTTAAAATCCATGGTTTCTAACTAATGCTGACTCTTTCAAGTCAAGTGATCATGCATTACACTTTTTCTCCATTGGTTTGGCTCATTTCTTGAAACAGAAATGACATTCTCAAAACAACATGGACACATCTCCAAACCACCTTACAGTCGTTCACAACAGAATGGCATTTCTCATTTATTTTATCAAATTTCAAATGTATTAGTGCATGTTTCAAGTGTCTCAGTAGACATTTGCAAATGGTTCTGTACAAATACCATGTAGGCTGGTGTCATGTCTTCACGACATCCCAACGTCACGTGAAAACAAAGAAGTCCAAAGTTGCAGCAGCTGATTTTGAGCCGAGGGAGATGGCAAGTGTCTTTTTGTGGACCGAAGACAAGGTTCAGTTGTTACTTAGCGCAACACTGCATTTTAAGACGAGCATGGCGGCTCAGAGTGTGGACTGACTCGACTGACCCTTCCCTATCCACATCTCATTGAGCATATTTGTTTGCATTTTACAGAAACGAAACTTAAAACCGCATGGCTAATTTGCATAAAATAAGTGCTCAAAAACAGCTCGCCATTGTGCGCTGATGTGGTTCAGCTTCTGTTGGACTAATGGACATGACTCACTGGATTATATGTGTTCTTTCTGTGACAGAGGGGTGTTCAGCTAATGCTGAGTTTGTTCTATGCTTCTATTGCGTTTGAAATGGTTCATGTTAAACTTTTCAGAGATTATACGGTCTATGTATGATCATACGCATAGACCATAGTTTATATGAATGGACATATATTCTAGCCTCTTAGCATTTTGGTGCTGAATTAGCCTACTTTGCATAGAACTACATCAGTGTATCAGCGTATCAGCGTTTTCAGGCATCCACACGGCGCCGGATCAGATCCGTACTCAAATGAGTCCATGGGAGCTGGCGGCACCAGATCGTTCCGTCTCTGGAGCCATTTTCATTCGGATTAGTGTGGATGAACACTGCATCCGCAACGAAAACGATCCGAATACGGACTAGTGTAGACTGGACCTTATAGTGTATTATATTCAGGCTGAGATCACGCATTAGTGATTCAAATTTCATGTGCGTGTAATTTTTAAAAATATATTTTTAGGTGGGAGTCTTTGCGCCCCTGCTGGCCAACAGTGAAAAATTCCCATGTCCATCATATATTTTTTTGCTTGTAGCCATGCAGAGAACTGAATTCCCAAATTTGGTGCAGATCCGATAATAATGACGTTTCATAACATTGGAACAGAATATTATATGTTTTTATCTCGTCGGGGTCGCCCCCTGACCTTCCATTGACTTCCATTCATTTTAGCAGTAGTAAATATGGCTCATGCCTTGGGCATGGGTTGCTGGGATACTGCTGTTCGTGCCGGGGGCGACCGAGGACAATGTTGCATGTCGTCGTCTCACATATAGGGTGTGTTTTTATGCACAGTCTTACAGTGCTCTTGATCATAAAAGTCACGTAACCTGTGGCCTAGTGTCTATAGTTTGCCTCTGGAATCTTTCACATTATCCAATATTAAAGGTACACTATGTAATTTTTCTGGTGGATGAGCTGTCGGTCTGAGGGGCTGTCAGGAAGAGAGGATGACGTGCCAGGGCGTTCACGAGTCCTTGGAGGTCGCATGGGATGGGGTGTGCGCGCCGGGGCGAGGGCCATCATCGCTGCGAGCAGCTTTAATTTTTTATTTTATTTTTTTTTTGTAGTGGTGTCTTTTTTGGTTGGAAGTTGCATGTTGTAAGCAGCAGATGAGCTTCTGACACACTGGTGTCTGTGGAGTAAGATGACCATGAGCAAAGGTATAACAAGCATTTTATACACCAAGAGGTGGGGAAAGTCTGCAGATGAACATTTCACAGCAATAACAAAGTCCCCTCATAAACCCCCTTTTGGTAAAACAGTGTCATTGTTTCAAAAGATTCACATTTCAAGTAGAGCTGAGATAAGGAAGGACAGCAGCAGCAGGGGGCAACAGGTGAACACCCCAGGGCCTTTGATGGTGTCATGGGTAAAGTCTTGTATTTGTTAACCAGAATGAAAACTAAAACCAGAGAATTATTACTTTTCTTCCACAGTACATACATAATGAAACAGCAGTGTACAAGGACTGAACCTAAGACCCATTTTTACTCTCCGCTTGAGTTGTGTGGTCCTCTGTGTCTTTTATTTAGTACTGCTATGATTTTCATGGTTTTGCTTTTATTTGCTTTTATTGGTTTTATTGTTTTAGGACTGGTATGACCAAATTTTAGCAATTTATCTTTTTGTTGTCTTCATTTTACGATCTCTGTGCAGCACTTTGGAAACTGTAATGTTTGTAAAACGTGCTATAGAAATAAAGTGGATTTGGATTTGAAGAACTGAAGCTGCTGACCCCAAGTGAAGCTGAAGTTCTGCTCATCACCACAGCGGTCTGAGAGGGACAATCTATCATGAGTGAAATGATCCAAATGAGTCCGTTGAAGGAATGAGCAATAAACAGCCTAAATGTGGTCACAACATGTTACACCATCTCTACCTCAAAACTCAAAGTGATCTGACTCATGATGTCATCAGGTGGTAATCTGAATTCTGTGGTTTTACACATTAACCAGACTGATTCTTCATATTTCAGTGCAGAGAATTCCAGACACTGTACCTGCTTTTTACTCTAAAAAACATGAAAAACAGAACTAGGAACTAATAGAAACAGTTTGCAGTGGTCCAAAGTTCTTCCTCACTTAACATTATGCATTAGATAGAACATCCTAATTATCACCGTTGGGCAAGTTACTTTAAAACTGTAATGTGTTATTTATGACTTGTTACTGTCATTTTAAAGTCATTTGTTACATTACAATATTACTGTATTTAAAATGTAAGACATTACATTAATATTGCAGCACTTTTAAGTTACTCTCACCAAAATAACTGTGAAGATGATGAACTTTTGTGCCGTATATGGACTGAACCAGGACTAAACCAGGTCTAAACCAGGTCTAAACCAGGACTGAACCAGGACTAAACCAGAGTTGAACAAGGACTGAACCAGGTCTAAACTAGGTCTAAACCAGGTCTAAACCAGGTCTAAACCAAGACTAAACCAGGACTAATCTTGGACTAGAACTTGGAATGAGAGAGAACCTGAGCCCGTGGAACAGGGTGTCTGCAAAGCGCCATCGTGTCAGCTGAGTGGAGTTCTGCGCTGGTCATTTCGCCTGTGGTCACCTGACGGTCTACGTGGGCGTGTCTCCGGCGTTTCACCACTGCTGATATTGCGGTTAAATTTGTATGAAAAAAACCAAAAACAAAACACCACTTCAATCCAGGTTAAAAATGCATTGTAACGCGCGTTACTGACATTTGTACGGAGTAAAATATTATGATTTTTCCCCCCTGTAACGCCACATTACTGCGTTAAAGTAAAAAGCAATGCATTTACAGTAATTCGTTAGTTTTATAACACATTACTCCCAGCACTGCTAATTATTCACCACCAGCAAAAGTGGAGTGTTAAAATTGACTCTCACAGAATCAATTTTAACATTTTCTTATTTATTTTAGTTTATATGAGTCCAGTCTGTTCTAGAGCTACTTTTTTGGAAATGTTAATTAAGTAACATTGGACCAAAGTTCTAGCCAGGCTGGCGCCACCTAGTGCCTCTGCTCAATTGAATTTCTCTCCAGCAACTAGGTCAGGAATCAAAATACACTAGACGATTTGCAAAAACCCCGGAAGTGCGAGTTCGGGCACCAGCCAATCAGCGAAGAGTTATATATTCTGTGTTGTCAACGATTCCCGTTATCGAGGATTTAAAGCCGGAATAAAGAGAATGTTTGGTGAATTATATCAAGTGGAAAGATGTTATTGTCCTTCTTCCTACAGGATTTGGGAAAAGCTTAATATACCAGTTAGCCCTGTTAGCGACGCATTATATATGTCACGACCAAATAGAAGTGATTAAAAGTACCCGCGCACCGTCGAGGGAACGACTTCTAACACTGTCAGGTCACACGGTTTCTACGAAGTGAAACCAGCTGATGGATCAGGCTACCAAAGTTCTTGTTTAATCCTGAAATCAAGAGTTATATTAATGTTTTAAGAGTAAACGGATAGATCATTTAAGATGATATTATGTACAAAACTGGTTCAAACTGGTCTTGAAGTGGTGGGTGGGAGATGACAAATTAACACTAGTGGAAGTTGAATTAACACTAGAGGAACTTCAACCATATCAACTCTGGCAAATAACCCCAACTCAAACCCCCATTTAACTTTCAAATAGTTAAAATAACACTTTTTGTGTTAAAAACAACTTCACCCTGAAATTTTAACCCTCCAGTTTTTGCTGTGTAAGTGTTTTGACTGTGATGGAGTGGACTTTGGAATGGTAATACTTATTTTATTTTCACCCCAAAAGCTGCTTATACAATACATCTGAAATGAAAAAAATCAGACACAAATCCTTTAAGAAATCTCCCACTTTGGACCTATCTATTTTTGTTAGCTTCATTTACAATTCTTCAGACAGAACATAGCAGCTCCACGTGATTCTAAGTTTGTTCATAGTGTCCAAAAGTATTCAAAGCCTGTCTCGTTTTAGGAGCATGAAAGAAACCAAGAGAATACTTCGCTGCCTGTTGTGGTTGGACGGACGTAGCGTTGGTTTCTGGCCCCCGAGCTGTTGCGAGGCTGGGGGTCCGAGTGTGTGTGGGGGGTCTGTGGGGGCCTCTATCACCTGCACAAACATGAGACTATGAGAATATGATCCAGAACAGAGTGAGGAGTTCAGACTGTCAGCAACAAGGCGACAAGATGAACTAGATCTGACAGTAAAGTTTCTACATTAAAGTGCCAACATTTCACTCTTTTCTGATCGGTTATAATGTAGTTTCCTGATCACAAACAGACCTGGAGCTGTGTTTTGTTTCATTCATGTTTAACACACAAACCCTGCAGATTGAGTTAAAGTTATTTTTTCACACACATACACAAAAACTCTGCTTGAAATCATTTGGATCATTTCAACCCTGGAATTGCTAATCTTTATTCAAGGATCTCAGCTTGAAAACTACCACTACATGACATCACAAGGTGGAACAGAGCATTTTGAGCTTTGGAGATGTAGACAGAAACTAAACACAACTTCGGGTCTGTTTTTGAGGAGGTAACAACATTAAAACATGACTCACAAGAGGAGATGACTCAGGTTTCTGCTTGGTTAAAAACTCTCACTTTAAATATTGACAAAACTGTTTCTATGGTTTTTTTTTTCAAATCGTCACTGTTGAAAGGACCAGGGCTAAATTACGCAGCCTGGGCCTCACTGTAATAACCCTCAGAAAATCACTCAGCTTTAAAGACACAATGCAAATAACTCTGACTACACTCAAAAAATATCACATAGCTTTAAAACCACAATGTATACTCAAAAATATCATTTACTACACTCAAAAAATATCATTTCTTCAATAACACAAGGTAAATATCATTTACTACACTCAAAAATTATCGTTTAACTTCGATAACACAAGGTAAATATTTGACTACACTCAAAAAGATCATTTAACTTTAAGAAACACCATACAGGTAACTTTAACAACTCTTAAAGTATCACCTGGGGAACACTTACAACTTCACTTAGCTTTAGAAACCACCTTATGACATACTCTATACTCTATCTGACAACATTTGCCCAAAACACATTTTTAACAGTGCCTCAAAGAATTTAACCAGATTTAGTTTTACACCAAAAACATTGCAAATATTAATTTATCCTTAGCAGTGCCTCAAAACCTTTAACCAAATTTAGCTTTGCATCAAAAACATTGCATTTTTGTAAGTAACTCACCTAGGATGACTTGACTTGCTCGTGGTAAATATATATGTATAATAATTGAGGGAAAGACTCAACAAAAGATTCCAACAAGTGATTTGTCTTTGTCTTATTTTATCTGCTTTTTATTGTTTTATGCACTACTCAAGTGGCTGGTGGTCACTCTTTATACTCGTGATCACTCAGGGTTTTTAGGCCCACGACAGAGCACTTATAACCAACTCACTCCGTAGCCGCTACTTTTACCAGAAAGCTCATACAAAAATAATTAGGACAAATCACTTTGCAAGTACCTTTTGGAGAAATTACCCTGTGACCAGGAAAGCTATAAAGCACAGCCTAGTCCGAATTGCAGATTCTGAACTCCTAAGCCGAGTTACAGCCGGAGGGCCAATGCCAACCAAAATCAGGATCTGAGTTATTATGCAGAATTTTCAATATTTATCTAGGGTCACAGAACTCCACCCAGGTACATGCAAAGTGATCAAGACGTCACATATAGCACACATCTTTCCAAGTACAGGCAACACTTTCTTAGAAACCACAGTCTTCACTGTTCTAGCCCCCAACGCTCCTCCCCAGCCAGGTGTGAAGTCACTGCCACCTCGCTTGTCGAAGGAGCAGGAAGCTCGCACCCGCATTGTCTACAGGCCTCCCCCTCGCCGCATAACATACAGGTTTCGTACATCAATGTCAAATAAAGGTCAACTGTCAAAAGAACAGAAGGCCCTTATCTTTCCTGCACACAAACATAACAGTTACAGAAATTAATGCAAAATAACCTAAACTTAAAAGTTAAATTGAAAGAATTAAGCAAATCAACATAAAAGAAACAAATCAGATTAAATCAAAACAGAACAAGTAACTTATGTTAATATGGGTCACAAAAACACTTCTACTATTTAAATCAAACACTCTTAATCTCTAATGCTCTAACAGTTATTCATTTATCAAAATAAAACATCATGAACATCTTCATCTGAATTTCAGGAGCCCTTTTAGTGGAATTTACGCCAAAACCTTCATCTTTTCACCCCACCCGAGTGAGCTCTCCTGTGACCGAGGGGGGGTTCACGACAGTCACAAACTTCAAAACTGCCCTGAAGTTCTGATAGAAGGGCAGAAGATTAATAATGTTGATCAGGTGAAATATCTAGGAGTTATTCTGGAACCAAATTTATGTTTTAAAAAGCACATTAAAATGTTAACAAATACGATCAAATTTAACATGGCCAATTTTAGATATATTAGAAACTCCCTAACGACTGAAGTCTCAAGTGCCTCTAAATGCAACGCTAATGCCACGCTTTATTTACCATATTTTCCAGGCTATAGGCGAGTTTCATTGTTGACAAAAGTGCGCGTTGCATGCTGGGAATTATTTTGGTCGGCAACAAGAAACACTAATTCAACATGACGGACGGAGCGAGAAAGCACGTAAAGGGTATTGATCCCGGTTATTTATCCACTCTAACGGCAGAGGACCCAAGACCATTTGACCAGAAATTGGTCATAAACATCAATGGAGCCAAATCACCCTTTTCAACCCCGACAAAAGGTGGAACAAACCAAATTTCTGGTCAGAATCGCCAACTACCTGGACAAATATTCACTTTGATGATATCCACAATGACTTGGTGGAAACTCCTGGGTCATTCACAGCAGAAAAGATGAAAACCTCCAAGAGTCTCGATGTGTTGTTGAACTTGTTGGAGTCCACGGTTTGTTAGGATCTTCTACGTTTGCTCTGCGGATGTTTGAAAGCCGTTTAATTCACCGTTGTCGGTTCTTTTCACTCAGAATACGAAAAAGACATTTTCCTTCTTCCGTGCTTCTATTTGTGCATCTGATAATGCAGCAGGAATTTACCATTATCGGGGATAAATACACGAGGTTACGCACTGTGTTTGACGCTACCGTGTTTCTTGCCTCCGACCAAAATATTTCCCAGCATGCAGCACGGGCTTTTAATAACAATGACGTCAGCTGAAACTCGCCTATCGCGTTATTAAGCCTCTAACCGCATCAAAAAACGACCGCGCCCCACAATCCAGAGCGCCCCATACACGAATCCACTCAGGTGTCCCAGCACGACTTCAGTAAACTACAAAGCCACACCACCCACAGCGCACGCAAACACACACGGAGCAGACAGCGACCACACAGTGAAACACACCCACAGACACACTCATCACTCCACGCCGACGAGGAACGGAACGGAGGAACGAACCGAAAAAGCGAGTGCAATGTGCCACTTCTAGACACAACTGAACAACTGAGTCACTGCGAACACACCGACAATCCGTTGGTCCCAGACAGCACCCTCCCTACACGCCACAACTGAACAAAGCCCAGAGTCACCGTGAACGCCACAAACAAACAAAACCACTCACCCATCACACTGTTGGGTTTCCTTTAAAGTCCGGTGCAGTTTATTTGTGAAAAAAGTTTGAAAATAGACCATTTAATGACAGTGCGTCTTATAATCCAGAGCACCTAATAGCCTGGAAAATACAGTACTGCATAACAAGTTGGTCACAGGTTTGTAAATCAGCTCTGAGGCCTTGAGAATCGTTATATAAAAGCGCTCTCAAGACCCATGACAAGAAAAGTCGTCTCTTTCACCACTGTCATATTCTTGTGAAACTTAATATTTTAAGTTTTGAAAATCTGATAAATGTTTCTCTGGTGTTTAAGATCATTCATGGTACTGCTGCTCCTCCTCTGAAACCACCTCCCGAGCCGCTCGATCCACTGTGCGCGGCGAGGAGATCCCCAAACGCAGGACGGCATTTGGAAACGCAGCCTTTTCACGCGCGGCCGTCCGTCAGTGGAAAATATCACCCACTGAGCTGATCACGTGTACAAACTATGGCACATTTTCATGCCTGGCGAAACAGTGGCTCCTCTCAAACCAAACCTTTGCTCATAGTGTGGACTGGTGAGTGTCTGATGAGTGAAGAGAGAGTGATGCTCTGGAGTGAATGAAATGAATGATGCTTTTGATAAGATGATGTTTTTAAGATGCTGAGAGAACTGGGAGTGAATGATGTTACAGATTTATTATGATGCTCTGGACATTATAAAGACATTCTCTTTGTATGTTTGATTTTATGAACTATAACATCAACCTGCCCAGGGACGACAGGTGGTAATTAGCACCGGTGCCTATAACCTGGTACATGCATCTCTCCTTTTAAGGTTCATGTAGATTGTGTTCTGTCCTTGTCTCATTAAATAAATAAACTAAACTAAACTAAACTAAACAAGAGTCCATTTTGTGTAGCATAGGACCTTTAAAGTGCACACTGTTTTCAAGGAGGTAACGCTTTAGTTGGCAAAGTGGTACTGGGGCTGATATCATCAACATTCCCTGGGTGTGTGAAGCTAACTGTAAGCACTGCTCTGTCTGAGGCTCTGTTACTCAAATGAGATAATCTGATCTCAATTTTAACACAATCTGACCAGGAAGAGCTGATGTAGCTGGAACTACAACAGGTGAGATGATTTGTTCTGTTAAACAAGTCCCTTGCTAATGTGTGCATTGTGTCTCCATGGTAACGGCTGAACATTCCGTTAATACACATACATGTAGAGCATCCCCAGTATGATCTCACAGCAGAGTATCATTGGGATGTAAACCAATATTTAAATGGTTAGACTGGTATAATTATATCTGTTACATTTAAGGTTAAATATTTTGTGTAAAAATCTGAAGATAATTTGTAAAAAAGACCTACATCTATATACACTACAGACATAATTGTAGTCTGCACTATCTGTTTCTGGATGCCCTAAAATCCATATATTTATCTGTTCAGACATGTGGCAGTGGCTCTGTTTTTATCACATCACTGATGTCATGCCCAAGTATGTAGGGCAGCAACTGAATATTTTTGTACTCAATTAATGATGATTAGTTGTTTAGAACCTGAAAAGCCCCGGAACATTTGACCCAGCTGACGTGAAGCTGCTTGAGGACATCCTGATGTGTATAGACAAGGGCTGGGAGATATGACGCAAAAAATATATCTTGATATACGATATATATATCTCTATCTGTACAGGAAAAATAACCCTCTGAAACTAAAACCACAATGTCTTTTTTTACTGAAGTGGAAGAGGTCAGCAGTTCATATAGGAACAAAGTGCTTCTGACACATTTAAGTTTACAAATAAAATCCCTAATTACAGAAATAATAATCCATCCATCCATCCATTTTCGTCCGCTTATCCGGTGCCGGGTCGCGGGGGAAATAATAATTTAACTGTAAAATAAAAGAAACAATACATATTTCCTTCTTTTCATTCATAAATAAACAATTCAGCTCAAGCTCATCCTTGCATTAACTCTGTTATCCAAACCATAATCGTAACCATGAGCTCCTTCAGCAGAGGAAGCTCGGGAGGTTCCTTATTATGTTCCTCACCAGCAGTGAGGAGCTCTGAGGTTTCCCACAATCCACTGCAGATCAAACCCAACGTTTCCAAACACTTTTGTACAAGTGACACTGCAGCAGATTATTCATTAAAATCTTCTGCATAAATAAACTTTACATTACTAAACTTTACAATATATAAAGCAAAACGACTATAGAGCCACATCAGCCCGTTTGACATTATAATGTGTTTAATGCAGTGGAGTATGAGTGTGCTGCTGATGTTCTTGTCTGTAAATGAAAAGGTTGGAAAAGGTTTGTGGTACTAGAAGCTTTTCACTGGCACCAAATTTAGGCATTAATGGCGGTAGTGAATGAGACACAAGCAGCAAAATCAGGGAGGCTGGGGCGTGCGGAGGCGACAATCGAGAAGGCAAACAAGCGAAGTGGCGAAATCAGAATTGAATATAAGCAGTGTATCGATATATACGATTTGTCAAAATCCATATCGACTTGAAAAAATATCTCGATATATTTAAAATATCGATATATCGCCCACCCCTAATACAGACAGACTGAAAATGATCTCTGGATCGCAGCTGAAATGTCTCAGTTTCAAAACATTGTCCAGATGACAACCTGAAACCAGACAATTTCATCAAAAGCACAAAATGAACCTTTTTTGTATACCATTTTCTCTGTTTGAGTAATAAACCCTATTATTGTGAGAACCAGTTCATGATTATTTGATTATATTATATATGTGATACATATTTAAAGGACCCATATTATACTATTTTCTGCTCTGTTTATTATATTATGTATTATTATGTTATAATGTTGTACCTGGAGTTGTGTTTTATTTCATTCACACATGTTTAACAAACAAACCCTGCACATTTAGGCTGTGTTCTTTTCTCAAATGGAAAACATTGTTCCACCTTGTGATGTCATGTGGTCATACTGTACCAAAGGTAAAAGGGGCTGTTAACTCAAAAAACTACCACTTCATGACATCACAACGTATAAGATATCATTTTGAGCTTTGGAGATACAGACCAATCATAAAGGGTAATGAAACAAACACAAGTCCGGTTATGTTTCTGAGGAGGTAACAATATTATAACATGACTGAAAACTCACAAGAATCCATTTTTTGCAATATAGAACCTTTTAAATTTTTGGAACCCTACCAGTATGTTTCTTTCTTTCTTTTTTTTTTTTTTTTACTTTTATTGCCACAAATCAATTCACATCAACAATGCCCTGAGACCGGGCCTTCACACAATTTATATATTTACTTATTTCCTCCCCTTCTTCCTCCCTGCTCTCCCTTCTAGAAGAAGAAAAGAGAAAAAAAATGCAAAAAAAATGTTAGGGCATTCATGTCTTATCTGAAAAAGTCAATAATTGGGCCCCACATCTTTTCAAAAGTCGGCACCTTGAGCTGTAATTGAGTCGTTAACAGTTCCATTGTATAATATTTTCTGATTTTTGATATCTCTAATCAGTGGTCGGTGTTTCCGGTTTCAGCCAGTAGACCGTGATCATTTTTCTTGCAGTCATCAGAAGAAGATGCAGCAGAAAGCACTGATCATGAGAGAGACCATCAGGAAACGTATCGAGCAAAAATATCTTTGGGTCCATCAACAGGTCCACAGTCAATATGTTTTGTAGAACATCTTTAACATCAATCCAGAAATGTTTTATATTGGGGCAAACAAATGTGTGAGTCTGATCACCCACAAGTCCACACAAGTATGTTTTTGTTGTTACATAAATGGGGACAACTCTCTCTTTGCCTTTTGAATGCTCACTATCTGTAGGTTAATACAGTACTACTATGCAATACTTAGTCTGCAATGTAATACTTATAATAACTCTGGTAATATCAGTTTGAAAACTTTATTACATTGAATAGACACAGAGCACGTTCGGATTGCTGATCTATGAATACATTTTAAAGAGCAATAAAACATTAAAATATATTATCTTCATGCTGTTCATTTTATGTGTTAGCTAATATTTTTTCGTTCTTCTACTTCTTAAAAATAAAATATATATACATTTTTACCTCCGCCTCTAAACAAAATCACACCTCATTATCAAACTGCACAAACTTTCAAAATAAAATGACAAAACAAGAAAATACCGCATAGTTATATAATTATAAACTAAAATATCACTACAACCTCCAAAAATTGTATTATAATTGAATTTGTTAGCCACTGTCTATAAAAACGTCCATATTTTGAAGTCATTACACTAATTATTATCTTTTATTCTGAAATCAAGCGGTGGTTTCCTGCCGCACCGTTGCTAGACGACTCCTCAGAAGCGACGTGAAAACAGTAACCTCTCCATGGCAAAAGACAACGGCGTGCCTCGGAAAATATCACCTCCAACCGCCTGCAATCTTCTACAACTTCAGTTTTAAACGTAAAAGTCCAGATCGCTTTGGGGCATAGATCAGTTAACATCTGTTAGCCGCTGCACGATCTGTGTCTGTCAATGTTTACAGAGCTGTTAGCAAGAGGAGGATAACTAGCCACAAATCTGGACCCCCGGCGACTGAAATTTGGAGGAAAATGAGAGAAAAGACACGTTTTGGAGTTTGATCCGGAGTTCTGATCCTTGTGAAGATGTCTCTGGAAGCGAGTGATGCCCTGTCAGACTGCGAGGAGCTGGTGAGGACAACGTGATTGCTGTTCTAACACTTACTAACGAGTTATCATCTATTTCACTGCGATCTAATAAGGACAAAATCACATCATCATCAATGCTGTATGCTTTCTAACATTTTAAACGGTTGTCTTCTTCTAAAATGCATCGTCAAATATACATAAATGGACAAGTCTAAACTGTGTAATCAATTAAATGTCCTATAATACACAAAATTGACTCTTGTGAGCTTTAGGCCATGTTAGAAAGCTGTTACCTCCTCAAAAACATACCTGGCTGAAGTTATGTTTTGTTTAGAGTGACCAGATGTCCTTATTTACCCTGGACAGTCCCAGTTTTGTCTCCCCTGTTCCAGCAGATTTATCCAAAACCAGCGATTTGTCCCAGTTTTAAACAAGAAATGTACCAGGTGTCCCTATTTTTGACCAATCTGATTCATGCCAACAGTAAAGAGAGACATAAATTGTTATTTATTGATGTAAAATACAGAAAAGCTGCTTAAAAATGACCAAAACACAAAGAAAATGCGACTATACTGACTCACATTAGTTTCACAATTTTATTATTACCAACTGTTGAGGAAAATACCTTTTCTTCCCATGTTCGTTAGTTTCTGCTTAGACAAAAAATGACACTTGAAATAAAGTCCAGATAATTGACTTATTCCAATATTAGAAAAGTCATACTTGTACAAGGAGTCTGTGCTGACATTCCCATGCAGAGACTGAATATTTATGCCTATACAATGATTTTTATACACAAACTACAGTGGGAGGCGACCACGGTTTAGACTTACTGCCTCTTCGTTGGTGCAGCCAGGCCTCTTGGCACGTTGCACAATCTTATCCGATTGTGACAAGGATCCCCTGGATTCATCTCACGTCTTACAGGAGTGTCTTGCTGGTCTGATCAGGGTGATGAGTTGTGAGTCTGCATATCCCTATCAATAAGTCCTTGCCCTATTTATTAATTGATTAGACATATAGATAGAAATAGAATATCTTTTACATGAACTGAACCTATCTCTGCATCCCTTATCTGTAATCTAGTCCCTGTTTTCTGGGTCATTGTATAGTGAATTCTAATAGTACAATAATAAAATATAGCAGTACATCAATAACATCATAGCAATAGTTATACACCACCTAAGCCTAGTTATTTATCCTAACACAACCACCAAAAAACAGGGATGTCCCAGTTTTTTATTTTGAAAATCTGGTCACCCTAGTTTTGTTTCATTCACACATGGTTGTGTAATCTGACTACATTTTCAAAGCTCAAAATTCTCTGTTCCACCTTATGATGTCATGAAACTGTAGCTTTCAAAGACCAGTTCCTTTTACCTTTGTTCAGGGCTGAAATGTTCCAAATGATTCTCGTGAAGATGTATGGAGTTTAAAAACACACTTCCTGTATTATCTCATGACATCACAAGGTGGAATTGAGTGTTTTCTGTTTAAGAGAGGCTTTGTGTGTTAAACATGTGTGAATGAAACAAAAATACAACTCCAGGGATGTTTGTGATGAGGAAACAACATTATAACATAGAGCTGAAAGTGGTGTAATATGGGCCTTTTTAAGAACTAAATACATTTCAGCAGTTTTTCTTTATTTACCGAAAAGTTACTCAATTCGATATATCGATACAGCAGCCCATAATGTATCACCAAATTTAGTATCACAGTGATATCGATATATTTTTGCACACTTGTATGCTACTGTGGCATATATTGTATTTACTAGGGGTGTAACGATATCGTCACAGTATGAACCTCACGGTACGATATTTATTGTGATATTGTGGGAAAGCTCACGAAAAATTGGGAGGCTCACGATTAGGAATGTAACAAGATACAAATCTCTCTGTACGATATTTTCACGATATACATCTCACAGTACGATATTTATTGTGATATTTTGTGGAGGCTACACAGCGAAAACTGTTAATATGTGACTTTTTCCTCTTAAAACGGCTTGACAAGACAATCCAAAGAACTAAAACTTAAAGTACTTAGAACTGTTATTTCTTCTTGTAGTCTGCACTGAAATGGAGCAAAGGATCATGGTCTATGTAGTTCCTCTGTCTTTTTTAGCTATTGCTGCACCAGAACTCTTCATTTAAACAAAGAGACTTGTAATTCGATATAGTGTGATGGTCCATGATATTATTGTGAGAACTTTGACGATACGATGTCACGATATTTCAGTTATTGTTACATCCCTAGTATTTACTTATTGCATTTTTTAAAATCTTTTGTAATATTTTCTTGTTATAAATAATGAATATCTAGAGAGTTTATAAATAAATAAATTAATCATTGCCAAACATGTGGTAGTTGGTTATTACTAAACTTTTAGAGACTGGGAGGAGCCAAAGGGAGCAACAGTATAGTTAAAATAAAGAGTTTTGGATCAGTTTAAAAAAAAAAATTTATTCAAATCTTACTGCCAAACTGCTATTTTTTTATTTGTTATTAGTTATAAGTATTAAACTGCATGCATGTCTTTTTCTCTCCAGGTTGATGAGAGTTTCCGCTTCGCTGATGATTTCCTGGAAAAGGTGACTAACTAAACCGTACCATACCAGTTTAAATACAGCCCTGCAGTACACGTGTTTGCTCTTATAATGTTTCTCTCTTTTCATCATTAGAAATCCTCACGGAAGCGAATGGCCAAACCTCTTCAATCCCCCAGTAAGAACTCTACGGAATCCCAAAACATTTTCTGAACTACTGAAATGAGTTTGGCTCTATAGCATAAGCGTTACATTGACACTGAAATGATTCATTCTGAAGTAGGAAGGAGCCAGAAAATACCTCTCATTTTTAATTAAACAGATAATGATCATATTTTTACAATCCATCAGAAACATCAAAACAGAAATTGGTTAAATGTGGGTTAGACTTCAAGTTGTACAGTATAGTTTATAGTGTAAATGTCTTGGTTGAGATTCAAGTGTTGCACAAAAAGTGATGAACCACAAAAGTATAGAAATATCAAATCATATGACCATTGTTTATATATATATATATTTTAAATGGTTTCATAACATTTTTTTTTGCCTTCCCTGTCAAGCACTTCTATGTGTTTTAGTTTTCCTGTGTACTATAATGCAGGACTCTCCAGTGTTTTTCCTCCAGTGAGGTCATTTACAACACGAAAATGCCAGAGAGCTACTAGTTTTAGCGATCAAGAGAAATGTAATAAATATAAGAACAACAGCCTTAGAGGAGGTACAGTTAGATGCCTATAAAACATGAACCATTATCCTTTTAGGAATGTACAAACTTAGGCATCAAAATGATACATGTACAGTGATACAAGACATTTAGTTTATCAAATTTTACTTTTTCATCATACTGTGTTATTCAGAAATTCCTTGGCAAGCTGCTTGTAAGGGGGTGCAGAGCTACTGGTTGGAAACCCCTGCTGTAGTGACTATTAGGGTTGTCTAAAACTTTGAAAATCAGATACCAGTATCGGTATTAGAACTAATATTAAAACTAGATCCTGCCTTTGAGCAGGTATTAAAAAAACACATTCACAGGACAAAACTTGAACTTTGTAAGTGTAAGACCTCATGCTTAGATAAAGAAAGTACATTTTTGATCCTCATTGTTTTTATCAAAGTCAAAGTATAGAGTACTGAGTGAATTTCTTAGTATTAAACTCGGGTTTGAAATACAACAGTAGTAACTATAGTATAATAAAGCTGCATTATGTAACTTTTCTGGTGGAGGGTGCGTCAATGCTTTTCGTTCTGGAGATGTTATTGCTTTGTCTGGAATGTTTCACAGTATGGCATTAAACATTTCTATCATCATGGAGACCAAACCAGACCAAGTTCCAGGTCAGATCTGTGGAGAGTTGACCCTGCTCACAGTCAGAATGTCTGTTTTTTGAGGTATTTTTGAGCTATAAAACCACCCATAAGGGAAAGGGAAAGGGTAAGGGAAAGCTTTTTAATGTCATACTGTGGAACATTCCAGGTGGATCAATGACATCTCCATAGAAACCAGCTGGTGACTGACCCCCCCCAAAAAAAGTTACACAATGCACCTTTAAGTAATTCAAATGAAACACAATATTTTCTACACACAACATACCCTTAAAGTGTTTTATGACAGATCTATTATTTAAAGCCATATAAAGTCATATTGTGTTTTTCCCTATGCAGAGTCTCCATACCTGACCAGCCTGAATGTGAACCCGCGCAGGGCAGCAGTGGCAGCCTGGAGACTCCCACGAGCGTCTCTAGGGGGCAGCAGAGAGGGCACCCCCGGAGACAGGGACACAGGGCCTGCCAGCTCTGCCTTCCTCAGCAACGGCCACGGTACACACAACACAACTTAACACAACACAACACAACACAGTACACTAACACATGTGTTACCCAACGTGCAGTGACTCAGAGGAGCGGCTCACAGAAAACACTTTCTAGTAAGAAGGATTCAGGCGATGTCACTGTATCATAAACAAGGGTTCTCAGAAGTATCGAAGTTCAGATACTAATTGAGACTAAAAATCGTATCAAAAATAGATACTCATTTGAGCAGGTTTCAATACTAAAAAAGTTTCATTCACAGGAGAGAAATGAATCTTTCCTGAATGTCTTTAGAATGATGTTGAGCTGTATCAGAACAAGTAGAAGAGCACATAGACTAGTATATGCCCATGGACTTGGTTTAGACCTGGTTTAGACCTGGTTTAGACCTGGTATAGACCTGGTTTAGACCTGATTTAGACCTGATTTAGACCTGATTTAGACCTGGTTTTAATTCTGTTTAGACCTTGTTTAGACTTTGTTTAGACCTTGTTTAGACCTGGTTTAGACCTGGTTTTGATTCTGTTTAGACCTTCTTTAGACCTGGTTTAGACCTGGTTTTGATTCTGTTTAGACCTTGTTTAGACCTTGTTTAGACCTGGTTTAGACCTGGTTTTGACTCTGTTTAGACCTGGTTTAGGTGTGGTTTAGACTTGGTTTAGACCTGGTTTAAATATGACTGTACTCGTTGTGGTCTCAGGAGACATTGTAGCATATATTTTTGTTACTGCATGTATTATTTATTGTTCTTTTATTATTAGTGTGTTTATTATTATAAACCTGTAAGTTCTGTTGATAAGAGCCTAAGATGCTGTAGGGCTGTGTTTTAATTTAGGCTAATTGATGTGTGTTGATTAAGCTGGAAGTGCACTTTAGCTCGCCTCATACCATTAGTTGTTATTTAATTATGTTCTATTAACTTTTACATTTGCACTTTAAAAATGTTAATAAAAGTTGTTAATGGTTTACATGTTTTGTTGATATTTTTAGGCAAATATAATGCTTGTTATTCTGTTTCTGAATGGTATAGGCACAAGCTACAAAATAATTCTTAATTAGTCAAGGTAATGCCGTATACCCCGGTAAAATACTGAGGTTTAATGATATCAAAATTTGGATACCGCCCAACCCTACCACTATGGCACCTACCTGGACTACTGAGGGATTAGATAGATAAATACTTAATTGATCCCAAAGCTAATTCAATATTACACAGATATAAGGCCACATGGGGATACAAAAGAAAGTACTACCACTTAATGTTGAAAATCACATTTTATCAATTCAAATCAAACTTTGTTTATAGAGCACTTTGCATACAAAAATGCAACACAAAGTGCATTCTATTGTGTAAAGAGTGTTTTTTACTGTCATCATGGTATCGGAATTGGTATTGAATATCGACACTATCCTTAGTATTGAAATTCAGTTTGAAATTTTAGTATCATGACTCTATTATAAACTAGACATAGTTTAAAATAGATGTAACAATATCCAAATTTCTCATGATATACATCTCACGATACGATATTTATTGTGATATTTTGTAGAAGTTATCATAATTGTGACTATGCTACTTTGTCCTTTAAAAATGCATTGACAAACATTTGGTTCTGTTATAAACAGACTTAAGATTTAAAAGTGCTTAATAACAGTTATTTCATTATGTAAAATGGACTGAAACAGCACAGAATTATTGTATATGCAGTTTCTTATGCAGTTTATTTTTTTTTTTACTATTTCTGCAATATACTGTCACAACGCTCAATATCAGAGAGTTCTGATGATGCGATATTGCAATATTTCAGGTATTGTTACATCCCTAGTTTAAAATGGAGGTGGAGACTGTGTCAGAATTTTGTAGTATAATTATATTCTAATTTGCTTTTTTACTTTTTACTTACTTTAGTTGTTTTATCCTGTATTGGATAAATTCAGAATTGTCTTGCATTTGTTTTTTATCTACCACTCACTGCTCTGTACTTTGGTTTCATAGTTTTAATCATTTCAAATTTGATTTTGATTCTAAAGAACAAACTCAATACAGATTCCCATACCATGCTAAAAAAAACAAACAAAAAAATCCCCAACAGTTATTCTTTAGACAGTAGAATGTAATTTTCAACATTAAATCATAGTGCTGGTATTTTCTTTTATATTATCATGTGGCCTTATATCTGTGTAATCTGTGTCGTCCAGGCAGGTTCTTTTCTCTTTTTTATTTTTTTAATCGATGCTTGCTCAAATAAGGATCGATTATTGTCTGATGTTCAGTTCTTTTTGACAGCCTTAACTCCTGCAGTTCTTAAATGTAAAAAAAAAAAATCTAATATCAGTAGTTTTCAGTGAACAGACTTTGAAATCCTGTACAATCATCTCAATATGTAATAATAAAGCATTTGCATTTGAAAAATACATCTGGATTGATGTGAAATTACTGGCGTATCTGTATTATGCACCGTGTTCTGTATCACATATTTAAAGGAATCATGGCTAGAAACAACTTGTTTGTGGAAGTGAAAATGATGGTACTTTGTAAATTGCAGCCTTGGTGATTTGCTAATTGCGTCCATTCAAACTGTGATTTGGATGTGATTTATCTTGCAGCCCTACAAAGCCCTAACAAAGGCTACGTTCACACTGCAGCCTGAAGTGACCCAAATCCGATTTTTTGGCCTCTATGTGACCTGTATCCAATCTTTTAATGACAGTCTGAATGACACAGATCAGATTTTTTCAAATGAGACCCAGGCCACTTGGATATGTGCTCCTGAAACTGATACACATCTGATCTTTTGACATGTGACTTCAGTCTGAATGGCCAAAGTGCATTCATCCAACCTACACGTTATCAACAAGCCACAAATGTCACTATTAGGTGAAAATTATTAATGAACTCCGTGTCACTGAAGCAAAGCACATCACCACTCACCACTCCACATCCACACGTTCCTTTCAACGGACGTCGCTGCCGCTGTCCCACAAAACACCACGACCAAAAACCTCGTCCTTCTCCTTCTCAATCTCCTCCTTAAAACAAGTAAGTTGTTCATGTTCTGGCTCCAGTACGAGAGGAACTTTAAAATCTCCAGGTGCTCAATGCTCGCGTCCATGTTTGGACAACTTCCGTAAACACAGAGCACGCTCACTGCGGTTGACGTCATCGTGTCTCCAGTGCACATGTGGGACACTTTTGGGTCGTTTAAAGTTCACACTGGAGTCACATATAACTGGAAATGTGAACGACCTCGCAAAAACATCGGATTTCACATAAAAATCCGAATTGAGCGGTAAACCCTGCAGTCTGAACGTATTCTGTTATTCTTTGAATGGTCCAGTCTTCAAAATGTCCCCAGAAAAAGTCCATTTCCAGCCTTTTCAAAAAGAGTGCAGACTTGATGCTCATCGTGTAAAATAAAAGCCAATCCAGTGTGACACTGAACTGTGAAAACCCATTATAGTCTCGTGTGTGTGTGTGTTTCAGATGTGACCCCGATGATCAGAGCTGAGTGTAATGTCTCACCAGAGCTGCTCAAGAAGAACTTCAGAAAACAGCAAAGACTTCTCCACTCTGCAGCCAATGGTACGCCCCACTCCTCAGCACTCTCACAACAAAATCAATGTAAAAACAGCTTTTTTTTTTTTTTTTTGTTACTGTTAGCTGTAAGATTCTGTTACACTGTCCAAGGCTCCGCCCACAAGCCTACCTCACCCATGCTCCCACACAACAATTCTCTATAAATATACAAAAACATGATACAAAACTATACACAACAACTTGACAAACCTGATGTGATGTGCAGTAGTTTCATTAATGAGATTTATGCTGACTGTGTTGTGATTGCGCTCTGAAAGGGGAGTGATTTAGCGTGGGGAGCAAAAGGAAGGAGACTTAGAGCATCATAAACAACAGTGAAACTTTTAAATCGTCCTAATATGTTATTTTTGGAGAATATATCATTTTCAAAGCAATAAAAGGTAACATGGTGATCTGTGTTCCCCACACAGTATCGCCTCTTTAAAGAACACATATGTTGCATTCTTGTGACTTTTATTTACTTTTAAACATGCTTTTGGTCACTTTGGGATAATTATTTCACATTTTCTAACTTTAAATATACTTCACCTCATGAGGCATTTAGGCACTGGAGCTCCCTCTGCTGTCAGCAATGGGAATGAACATTAGAAAGCAAACATTTAAAGTCCTTATCCCCTGTGAATGCTCTGCTAATGGAGCCATGCATTCATTGTGAACACTATTTCACTGATCTGTGGTGGTTATTGGCTTAAAAACAATGTGAGAGAAGTCAGAGTTTTACCTGTGATGCAACAATCTGGGGAAAATGCAAACAGAGCATTTTTGAGGCTCAGAGGAGACGATTTTGGATTAATTGGATTCACAAGCGTGAGTGAAACAAAATACAACTCCATGTATGTTCTTGACCAAGGGACATGTTTAAGTTTATTCCTAAATACCAGTGGTCTTTTTTAAATTGTTTGTGTAAATTGTGTTTCAGGCTTCACTGCGTCTGACTTCAGAGACAAAGAGGACATGTACGAGGAGATCATCCGCCTGAAGAAGGTAACACACAAATATTCCAAACAATAAGGCTCGGATTATATGTCAAAACTAACCACCATGAGGAAAACCTGACATGTTTGTTGTAAGTGGGCCACACGTCCATAGAGATGCATTTGTCCAAACAGTAGAAAAAAGACAAACGAAGAGTGGAATAACCCGATATAATAACTGGTATACTTTTATCCAAACGTGTTATCCAAAAAGTTACTGTATTTTTTGGACTGTAAGTCGCACTTTTTTCATGGTTTGGGTGTTTCCTGCTCCTTACACTCTGGTGCGAATTATGTATTAAAATTTTCAGACTGACAGCCGTGAGAAAGCACTCTAGGCTTCTGTGTCAGTTTTCTGTGCATGTCTCCTGCTGCAAGTAGTGAAATAAGCAGCAGAAAGAAGTTTGGAGTGAGCGAGAAACTCGTGAGAGACTGGCGGAAAGCGGGGATGGAGAACACAGCTTCACGGCAACCAGGCGGGTGCACTATGAAACTTTCCTGGTTGTCACTGAAGTGGACTTCAGTGACAACCAGAGTTGCATGGAGTTGTTCAGAAGTGACACCGAGGATGAAAAATTCGGTGGATTTAGTGATTTGGAGTGAGGTCGTGAGTTTGGTAAACTTATAAACTGTTGTTTATGCTATAATTATCTGAAGAACTGTTCATATATTACGTTAACATATTAATTTCTATTCAGTCTGTTGTTCTCTGTTCTATTGTTATTACTAGAACTTGCCTTTCAAGATAAAATGTCGGTTCCTGGTCCCTGATTTTATAAAATAAATTTTCCCCAAAAAGTGCAACTTATAGTTATACATGTTTTTTTCTTCTTCATTACTCATTTTTTGGCTGTGACTTATACTCCAGAGTGACTTATGGTTAAAGTAACTTAACATTATTAACATTAACTTAACTTAAAAGTGACTTAAGTACTGAAAGTATTTTTTACAAATCATTTCAAGTGTTGTGAATGTTAACTTTTGCAGCTTCAAAAATGATAAAAGGTTATTTCAAAAAACAACCACAAACAGTATTTTGGTTTATACTTTGTTTTATACTATTCACTTTTATGCTGTGATTAGGTTAGACAGACACAAAACATATTTGTTTAGAATGGGTAAATTGCAGTTCAGTTAGCCTGTGTGTTGTATAATTTCCAAAAAAAGTTACAACAAACTGACTAATCAGTGACGTCACAGGGAGAAGATCCTCTTTGTGTGAGTCGGCAGCAGCACAGGCTTTAAAAAAAAATTCCACATAAATACTTAATTACTTACTTACTTTGAGTCTTATGGAAATGTGGTGAAGTAGAAAGTATTATATTCGTATTCCAAATGTAGTCGAATTAAAGTAATAAGTACTCAACTAAAATCCAACTCAAGAACACTACAGGTGCTCAAAAACTGTATCCACGTAAAGTATTTACGTAGTCAGAGCAATTCATAATTCCAACACTTTTGAATAAATGCTTCGTTTAGTATTTAACATTTTCAAATATCCATTGTTTTACATTAGGTTCATTGATAATTCTGTGTGATGGCACAATCCTGAGCTCATGTGTGACATCTGAACGGTATAACCCTGTGTGTGTGTGTGTGTGTCTGTCCTCCTCCAGAGCCTCCACGCACACAAGACTGACAACAGGCAAATGAGAGCCAAAGTGCGCCGCCTAGAGGAGGACAACGCCAAGCGCGAGAAGCAGATAGAGGAGCTGCTGGATCCCACCAAAGTCAGTTCAGCTGATACAGTGTCGTGATTAGGCTCTGTACAAAAATACTGATGTGTGCATGTTTTCAGGGAGCAGAGTTTACCCGCAGTTTGGTGGATAAAAAGAGAGAAGGCAGTGTGGTGAGTCATGCCTTTAAGTAATTGTGCTAAGAGGAACTTTATTTAAGATTTTGATTTTACATTCCATAAACTTGAGTCATCTGTGCCCCCAGATACGACGTAGACATGTTCAAATCAAATACAGCTTTTACTGATAACAAATGTGATGCTGATTTATTCTTAATTATTGAAAACATTGGACATGATGGACAATTGTTTATGTTATAATTTGGTGATCAGAAAGCAGATTGAGCCTCACATGTGAGTGAATTCTGGAGGTTCTGGGCTTTCACATGAGGTCTGGTCTGTTCATATACTGAGAAAAACATAATCCGCTATTTACAGGTTAAGACTCAGTTAACCCAGTCAGTTGTGATTGTTGATCTCGTGACCCTCAGGTGGTCGCAAGAGATTGTTTTGGGGTCGCCTTGTCACGATCTGCATGTAGGTCAATTGAATGTGGAAAAGAAAAAGAAATCAGCTAAATTTTATGTTCAAATAGACTGTAACAGTAACTGAAATATCATGATATCATATCATCAAAAGTCTCACAATAATATCATGGCCAGTCACAATATATCGAATAACAAGTTCTTTTGCTTAAATGCATTGTTTTCTAGTAGCTACAGCTTATGAACATTGGAAACTACATATCCCATGATTCATTTGAGTGCAGCCCACATGAAGAGATCAGTTTTTTACTTGATTTCTAGGGATTATGACGATAATAACTGACACCAAAATCTTTTCAAGGTATTTTAAATGTAAAAAGTGTTCCTTCTACATTATATCAGCCTCTTCAAAATATTGCAATAAATATCGTATCATGAGATGCATATCGTTACATCCCTACCTTTTATACATTTTTTCCTTGTTTAAAACTTGATTATACTAAATGTTCAGTATGCTCAGTCAACAATAAAATCTCCTCATTAATGTTTAATAATACTCAAATCCACCTTTATTTTGTGATGTACCAATAATGTTTATTGACTTGGCTCACGAAGGTTTGTGACTTTTAAAATATGGGTCCTCAGAATGTTTAGGAAACACTGAGATAGAGTGTAAGTATGATACTTAAAGTGTCATAATCAGAACCAGTTGTAAATGTGCGTGTGGGCTCCAGCAGGTATTCATCACCGAGCACGGACTGTAAACTGCCTTCAATATTAAACCAGTAACATGGCTCAAAGTTCAATCCAGTTCAATCCAATCCACTTTATTTCTGTAGCACATTTTATAAACATGACGGTTTCCAAAGTGCTGCATGACAAATGAATACAAATGAACACAGTAAATCATAAATAAAAACATTAAATAAAAACTGTTAAAAAGCATAAAGCTAAAAATGAAGCTTTATGAATGAAGAAAAATGAAATGAAGCCAGAGAGTAAAAGTCGGTTTTAAAACAAGACTTAAAACTCTCCACTGTGGGGACTGTTTGGATGTTGGGAGGGCAGAGTGTTCCAGAGTCTGGGGCCGATCACAGAGAACACCCTGCCCCCCCGGTTTTATAAGTCTCGTCTTAGGCACTACAAGTTGGAGCTCAGTTCAGATACTGGTTAAATTATATCAGGCACGTACTCATTGTGGTTAAGCTTAGGGTCAGTCTCCAGGAAATGAATGTCTGTGTAATGACCCTGCAAAGTATGAAAACTTTCTACAATATGTGGGTGTGCAGGTGGTGAACGGGCTGAAGCAGCGCATCCTCAAACTGGAGCAGCAGTGCAGGGAGAAGGAGAGCGCTCTCAGGTGTGGGATTGGAGCACTGGAGATGGAGACCAAATCTAAACCTTTACCAAAACAAGAGCAATCAGAAATAACAACCTGGTCCCCCATGAGGCATCGGTGGGGGCAGTTCATGAGGAGCCCAGCCCATATTACATGATTGTTATATCCACAATATCCACAGTGCCTATGAACATTTGTCTGATATTGGTCACACATGAGATTGTCTGTGTTTACTAGCGTGTAATGAAAATGTCATTTTTCATGAGTGTGTGTATGTTAGTTGTGTGACTGTAGATCAGTGTGTTGTGTATCACCAGAAAAACAAGAAATGGAAATTATTTTTGTTCCAATTAGAATTTTAACGGCTGCACTGAAAGAGAAAGGAACTGTTCTAATTAGTGATTATCTCGAAAACTATTCATATTTGACTATACAAATGCACACTCCCGTTGCTCGAGCTTGATCCTTCATGGAGTTATGACCAAAAACACATATTTGTCCTTGGTTACCTTGACCATCAAGTGACCTTGACCAGTTTCAACCTGTAACATCCTGTGTGCCCCGGTTATGTGTGTGCCAACTTGTGTGATGATTGGGTGAATATTTTAGCCCGCAGATGGTTCAGAAACTGCTGAAATTGCCGATCCTTTATAATGGCATGACCTTTCAATTGACCCGTGTGACCTCAAATGACCTTGGATCATCACCAAACTTTTTTGCAGCACTGGGCACAGGGGCTTGACCCACGTACCAAATTTGGTGACAATCGGTCCATAAATGGCGGAATTATCACGGGTGGACAGACACACAGACACACAGGGTGAATACAAAACCTGGTCAACCCTTCGGGGACCAGGTAATAATGTCAGGTTACCACAACAGTTAGCACCATGCAGCTAGTACACATTTGTTATACATGTTCACTTCTCCAGACTTATTCAGCGCTGGAATTGCCAATCTCTGCTGAATTAAAGCATTATAACAGGGCTTAAACCTCACAAGAGTCAATTTTATGTGATGTAGGACCTTTATCTGTCATAATGCAGATGTTTTGTCCTGGTTTATTGTTCATGTCTTTGTGATGGTACAACTAGTACAAAGGGTAATGTCTTAAGGGACTGATAAGAAAAGAGATAGTGTATTTTTAATCAACAGTTTAATCAACAGTTTGACTTATAGCTACTATATTCATATGGAACGTTTGATGTGTTTTCTGTTTCTAGTAAACTTCAGAGTGAGCTGAGGACCACCAACCTGGAGGAGCTGAAGATCACCATGGAGGTCTACTTTGAGGAGGTGAGACAGCTCCTAACAGTTTTATTCAGGGCAGTCTTAAAAGTCTTAAATTTTATGTCTTAAAGGTCTTAAATTTTATGTTCCTAATTTAAGGCCTTAAAAAGTCTTAAATTCTGTTGCCCAAGTCTTATTTTTTTCACAGAAGTCTTAAATTTCATTAGCCTGTTTTTCTGTATACTCAACCGGGCTGCAGTGCCATGTTAAATGGAGGGAGAAAAAAAATCAACAACATGAAATCATGTAACATGAATGAACGTCTAATTTGGAGAATGCACAAACAATACTTTGTTTGTCTTGTTAGAATGTTAAAAGTGCTTTTTTGGCCATTTTACAAGCAATGTGTCCTACTATAAATGAGTATTGAATGAGACTTTATTATAAAAGTATTTTTTATTATTTAAAGCAGTGAGTAATGGTCATTATTAGAATTGGATCTGGTATTTTTTGCCTGCATAATGGGTGCAATGTTCTTAATTTTCATTTAAGTGGTCTTAAAAAGATCTTTAAAAAGTCTTAACTTTGGGGTAGTCAAACCTGGGGAAACCCTGTTATTACAGAGATATGCTATATGTGTATTTGAGATTACAAGTGAAAAGTCATTTGTAAAATACGTATTGGTCTCTTTTAGATCCAAAGACTTAAGACGCTCCTGGATGCTGCAGAGAAAAGGTACCTCTTTTTGATCACAACTTACATCTGGGAGGGCATCCTTTGTAAAAACTGTTCCTAACTGACCTGTAAACTGTATGTACATTCTTTTATCACTGTGTACCCTGACATGACTCTGCTGCAGAGAAATTATAGATTCAGTATTGTTCCACTTTTATTTTTTTACTACTTCTGAGAGGAACTGACCTGGAATATATGTGTAGTTTCTTTTAGAATGACAGTAGCACCCTCTACTGTCTGTTAAAATATTATTATAAGAGTTAATATATTAATTCCACATATTGGCTAATCTCTTTGGAATATATATTCATTTATATTGCAAATAAGTCTTTGTTATTAGATCAACAGCAGTAGTTGTTGATAGAGTTGTAGTCCAATGAGGTTCATTTGGACTTCTGATATTTTATGTTATTAGGTTCTTTTTTCAAATCAAGAGTTTGTTTTCATGCCTGACAGTTTGGACTGCTCACTAGTGCTCTTCCTCAGAGTGGTCACGTGATGTCGCTGTGACTTATCTGATCAGCTGATTTAAACTGTTTTTTTACACTCACACACCTGGGATACTGTCCTGAGGAAGTGGTACTGCAGATGGCGCTGTCGTCCTGCCTCCACTGGTAGGAAGACCGCACCAACTCCTGTTTAAATCAACTGACCGGACACGTCACAGCGACATCACTCTGAGGAAGAGTGCAGGGAGCAGTCAAAACTGTCAGGTATGAAAACAAACTCTTGGTCAGAAAAAAGAACCTACTAACATAGACCTGGAGTTGTGTTTTGTTTCCTTCACACATGTTTAACACACAAACGTGCACATTTAGGCTGAGCTCATCCCTCAGATTGAGTGGTGGTACTGGAAGTGCTCCACTCTGCTTTTAAAATCCATTCACTTCACTAGAATCATTTGGGTGAAGGTAAAAGGAGCTGTTAACTTGAAAACGACCGCTTCATGACATCACAACATCACAAGATGGAACAGAGCATTTGGAGCTTTGGAGATGTAGACAGACTTATAATGAAGGATTAATCAAACATGTGTGAATGAAACAAAACACAACTCCAACAACATTATAACATGTCACACAAGTATTAACAATGGATCAGTGGATGGATGGTTTGGATCAGTCTTCAGGAAATAATAAAGGTAATGTCTCCACAAAGTTCGGAAACTTAACACCAATGCGTGTGCGTGTGCGTGTGTGTGTGTGTGTGTGTGTGTGTGTGTGCGTGTGCGTGTGTGTGCGTGTGTGTGCGTGTGTGTGCGTGTGTGTGCGTGTGTGTGTGTGTGTGTGTCTGTAGCTGTCGAGCAGAGAGTAAGTGCTCCCAGCGCCAGCAGAGGGCGCTCAACTCCACGGTGCTGCGTCTGACAGAGAGAGTGAGCCAACTGCAGCAGGAGAACAGGGAGCTGAGGGAGGAGCTGAGCACGGAGCACCCCACTGGAGGGCCCACAGGTCAGGTACCCCCACACCTCACCTCACACCTGTCACCTCTGTGTGGGGTATACAGGTCAGGTACTCTCTCCTGTCACCTCTCTGGGGTCAGCAGAGGTGGTAGAGAAGCCAAGCTTGCACTCAAGTAAGAGCAACATTACTTCAAAATAATATTACTCAAATAGAAGTACACAGCAGTGGTCTACATTAAATAAAGCAAAGAATGTAGTATTTTCAAAGGACAGACGCAAAAATGAGACAAACTAAAGACCTGGTCATACTTCATAAGAACATAAAAACTTTGTTCTTGCTCCCAGAGCTGGACAAACAAAAAGAACTTCATTTGCCAGTTTGGCAGCTCTGTCTGACATGTTTGCTCTGATTGGTTATTTATGTGGGTGTGGTTTATCTGCTTCCTTATCGGTGTTGAGCAAGAAAAAAAAAAGGATGGTTTTGAGTCACATCTGGGGGAAATGGTGAGAAAATACAAACCTCTATACAACACGACGCTCAATGACTATAAAGGCGCCCAGTGTCGAGAAGTAATTGATTACATGTACCGGAGTTACGTAATCAGAGTACAAATTATGAGTTACTGTATTCAGTTACAGTTACTGTTTCAATGAGTGGTAATTGGATTACAGTTACTTTGCTGAAATAAATGGATTACACGGCGGTATTTTCCTGTTTTCATATTTTGGGCTTTTTTTTTTGGTATAATTTCACTCATTGCTGGAAACTAAACCAGGTCTAAACTAGATCTTAACTAGATCTAAACCAGGACTAAAACCAGGTCTAAACCAGGTCTAAACCAGATCTAAAACATGCGTGGACGTGTCTCCTCCTCTTCTATCAATAATATTTTTAATACGGTTGAGTAAAGTCTGGGCTTTTCATTGTCTTTTATCAGATAAAACTTCTTATGTTACAATATCCTAGTCTTTAAAATTAAGTAATCCAAAGTATTCAGATTACGTTACTCACCTTAAGTAACTTAATGGATTCCGTTACAAACTACATTTTGGTGTATGTAATCTGTAATCTGTAGGGGAATACATTTTAAAAGTCACCTTCCCAACACTGAAGGCGCCAAATGGCAAGAAATTCATGGAGGGAGATCGCGGACAATTTAGGCTCGGACGAAAATCAGTGCTGAAAAGTCTGGTGTAATCTCTGTGACAAAGTTTAGAGTGGTACAAGAAGCAAGAAACAAATATTCAAATTATTTCGCATTGTCACATAAAGCTTTTGTCACTTGTAGATTTATTCACTGGGAAAAGGAACCACAACTTTTACTCAAGTAGTCAAGAGTACTGTTATTGCAAACAAAATATAGTAGTGCTGCCTTGGTGGCCAGTCTGCCATTTTGTGTTCATGTGTGTAGTTTAGTTTAGTTCTGTTTTGTGCCTTTTTTAATTTAGTCACTCGATTCTGTTTGTGGGCTTATGTGGTTTAATTTGGGAACTTGTATTTTCGTTCGTGTTTGTCCCTTAATTTTACCACTCGTTTTGTGTAAGCCTGCGTGAGCCATTTTGTGGCACAAAACTCAGTTTATTCTGTTGTTCCATTTCTGAGTTTAGGTTATTTTCTGTATATTTTAGTCTTTTGTTAATTTACCTTTTACACCCCTGTTAATTAAACATTATTTAATTTATTCCATTTTACATCTTTGGTTTTATTTTTGTTACTTCCCTGTAAAGCTGGGTATCATTAAGAAGATGCCGATACGATACACACCTCGATACATAGGCCAGGATACGATACATATCTCGATACAGTGAACCTTCGATTCGATACGATTCAATAAGATATATTTCAGATCAATTCGATACAGTACAATAAAACATAATTGCTAAATCATGTCTGTGATACTAAAAGTTTTTGTTAAATCACTTCTTCTTGTGCAAAGTTCATCTGAAACACAAACATTTTAATCGTCAAAACAGTAAAAATGTCAAATGTGTCGCATAAATGAGTTTCCTTCCTCTGAACAAGTAACAGAACAGTAGCTCTGTAACAAAATAATTTAGTAAAATACAGCAAAAAATACTCTTGATGATATATCAATACAGCAGCCCACGATATCGATCCTGTATCATCACATTAAACGATACAGTATATCGATATGTAATGTAGCCAGTCCATTACATGGGCCTAGGGCTAATTAACAGGTGAGGTCATGAGAAACAGAAACAAAGGTTTAAAAATGTTTATTGAAAAATTGATTATGTGCAGATTGTGAAGTTACCTGTAAAAGAAAAGGAAATAAGACAATATCAAGTAATCCAAAGTATTCAGATTACATTACTCACTTTAAATAATTGAATGGATTACATTACAAACTACATTTTGGGATATGTAATCTGTAATCTGTAGGGGAATACATTTTAAAAGTCACCTTCCCAACACTGAGCGCAGGTGACTGCCATGCCTGTTTTTAACCTTTTGTGACTTTTGTAAATATTTTTCTATTTTTTGTCTGGAAATGGAATAAATGCACTGGGATCTGCTCTATAAATCGTCTCTTCTTGACTCTGTTCCTCTGAAACTGCTATGGTTGCTATCCAGGCTATTACACGATATTTCAATATTTTTGCACACCCCTACTTCCCTGTCCCTAGCAGAGCTGGGTCCTAACAAATTGGTAGAAAAGTAGAAAAGCACTACGGGAGGTACAGTTTCTTTCTTCAAGTAAATGTAACTGAGTACTGCCTCTGATAGTCAGACACACAGATTATGATTATGTGATATAATTTAAAAACATCTTATTTAACTGTACTGAAAAATGACTTCTTTTTTTGCAACCATGTCCTGTGTATCTGTGTGCAGGCTACAGGGAGTGGAGTAAACAGAGGCTGCTCAGGAGGCTGCTCGAGCTGGAGAGGGTGAGTTCACGTGTGGGTGCTCCTCACTCAATGCATTTCAATAACACTCCCCTCTCGTCCAATCAGAGGCTGGAAGACAGGAAGAGGCCCGCCCACCCTGTGAGGAGCGCCGTGCTATTGGACCGGGAGGTTCAGACGGCAGCCAGTGAGATGCCGGACAGGACACGGCCGTTCACCATGGCAACAGAGGCAGGGATCTCCGTGGCAACCATGACCGAGGCCAGGGAGGAGGAGGAGCCCATGCTGAAAGGATGCCTCAGCCAATGGGAGCAGGAGAGGGCGGAGCTAGTGGAGAGGCTGAGGGGGAAAGAGTGAGTGGAGGGTTCAGAATGGTCCTCATTAGACTTTCCTAATTTGACTTTATGTGCTAATTATCTGGATTTTATTAAGACAGGAAACACCACAGAAACTCTTTATTCTTCTTAACCTTTTTAAATTTGATCTTTTGCGTCAGTTTGCATGTATAAGAAATTATCCAAATTCTATCTAAAGATGTTTATGATGCTTTCTACCATATTATATTATTATTCAGTTCTTTTTATTGACTTTTATAAATGTTTAAACATTATTTATCATTTATAATTTATTTATTTATATAGCACTTTTCACAAACATATGTCACAAAGACGCTTTACAGAGCATTTTTATAGATTCATTCTTCTTTTTTTCCTCCACACCCGATGATGGTAAACTACTATTGTAGCCACAGCTGCCCTGGGGCATACTGACGGAAGTGCGGCTGCCATGCCAATCGGCACCATCGGTCCCTCCACCACCATCACTCACACACACACCACTTTCATACTAGGCAAATGTGGGTGAAGTGTCTTGCCTAAGGACACTGTGACTGGCACCCCACTGTGGCGCCTGATTTTTCCAGTGTCTCCCATCCAAGTACTAACCAGGCTCGGTCTTGCTTAGCTTCTGAAATCTGACGGGATCAGGCTTTGACAAGCCGATATGACCATACAAATACATAACACAAAAACAACAACATCAAGACAGCAGGCAATTCCAAAAGAAACAAACAATATATATAAAAATGAAATAATAATAATAATATACATTAAATTAATAAATAATATTAATTATAACAATAATAATATTACCAACAGCAATAGTGGTAACAATAGTCACAACAATAATTATCATCATTACTGTTATCACTAAATCAAATTAAAGGAAAGGAAAAAGGAAAAAAAAAGGGAAATTTAAGGGAACTTTACAATATGAAGTAAGTGAGCTATTAAATATAATTCAGATTTAAAATAAAGGAGGAATGGCTGCCAGGTTTTATGATAGTTTTGAATTGATCTATTTATAGTATGTTTCAAATGTTTGAGCTTTAAATGGGACATGACATCTTCCATCCAACGCTTAAAAGACGGTGAGACTTTCTTCCAACTAAACAGTATTAAGCGTCTTGTGAGCAGCACGATGAACGCTACTGCATCTCCCTGATGAAGGGTCACTGGAATATTCAGAGGCACAACCCCAAACAAAGCTGTTCCACAATTTGCTACGATATTCCTTTTGCATGTAAATGAAATTGTTTTGAATATTTTCTCCCAGAAGTCATTTAGCCGGGGGCATACCCAGAACATGTGACTCAGGTCGGCTGGGTCATGACCACACCTTGTACAGGAAGAATCCACACCAGGGTATAGTCTGGCTCTCTTACCTGGAGATAGATGTAGCCTGTGCAGTACCTTAAACTGTAACAAGCCATGTCTTATGCAGATTGATGTTGAATGGATTCTTGTGATTGCTTTTTGCAAGTATTACCTGTGAAATGTTCACAGTTTTAAATGACCCAGTGATGAGGATGCTGCACTTTAAATTTTATCGTAAATGACTGACACCAAGCCTTTATCACACAGATTCAAATCCAAACACTCATCCAGCCATGTTTTTGGGGCCAAGGTTAAAGAGTAAGCCTTTCTACCATATTATAATGTTTTCTCATCCGTACATGCTTGAAGACTTTTTAGACATCATCAATGCGTGTTTGAGTAACATTTTGTTCAAATACATGGGGAAAATCAGGTACAGGCCCTTTAAAAGAAAAGTTCCCATGTGCCAAAGCTATTTTAGGCTGTCCACGTTGTAGAAAAGCTAGCAAATATTTGATGGCATCCTTTTAAAGCAAAATGTTGTGTTTCAGAGAAGAGCTGGAGCGACTGAAGAGTGAAGGAGAGAGGCGGGAAAGAGAGATGGAGGAGTGGAAGAGTGGACAGAGGAGTGAACGGGACCAAGAGACCAAGCAGCACAAGTGCGTCAGGTCTATCTATATCACAGAGACTCTAACATGTATATGTCTGAATACGAGATTATATCACACTAAAAAAGGAATGCTGTGGTCCTGTGTTTGACAGATATTTTCAAACGACAGACACAAAAATGAGACAAACTTAAGGCCTGTTCATACTTCATACGAACATAAGAAAGAACTTTGTTGTGATCCTAAATAAATGTTTATCACCTTTTTACATTGAATTAGTGTATTGATCCAAAACAAATGATTCATGTGTGAAGTTTATTCATTTATCTTACGCTAAATGAATAAAGAGCTACACGCTCTTAAGCCCCAACCTCATCAAAAAACGACTGCGCTCCCCACAATCCAGAGCGCCCTATACATGAATCCACCCGGGTGTCCCAGGACGACTTCAGTAAACATCCCACCAATCAGGCGCCAGGTACCACACAGCATATGCAAATACATAAGGTACAAGTGGTAAAACAAGCGAGGAACGCAGGCCGTAACACCGACACTGGACATGCGATAAAACTATGGATTCAGCGGCAGCGTCTTCACAACCTGCCATCAACGTCACTCACAGGCAGCTGGTAGGAACTGCTGATCTGCCGAACATAATGGAACACTACAATGACATTTTTAATTGAGTTAGAAGAATTATAATACCGTATAATCTGGGTTATAGGGTGCGTAATTAACCAACCGCATCAAAAAACGACTTCGCGCCCCACAATCCAGAGTGCCCTATACACGAATTCACTCAGGTGTCCCAGCACGACTTCAGTAAACTACAAAGCTGCACCACCCACAGTGCACGCAAACACACACGGAGCAGACAGAGACCACACAGCAAAACACACCCACAGACACACTCATTACTCCACGGCAACGAGGAACAGAACGGAGGAACGAACCGAAAAAGCGAGTGCAATGTGCCACTTCTAGACACGACTGAACAACTGAGTCACTGCGAACACGCCGACAATCCGTTGGTCCCAGACAGCACCCTCCCTACACGCCACAACTGAACAAAGCCCAGAGTCACCGTGAACGAACAAACAAACAAAACCACTCACCCATCACACTGTTGGGTTTCCTTTAAAGTCCAGTGCGGTTTATTTGTGAAAAAAGTTTGAAAATAGATCATTTAATGACAGTGTGCCTTATAATCCAGAGCGCCTCATAGCGCGGAAAATACAGTATACTGTATACATTACTAAAGGTGACATCATATTTATTGGAGGTGAACATTTCAGTAAATATAAGATTAACCTTCAAATGATCAAGATCTTTCAGTGTAAATTTCAAACATGGATCTATATTAATTAAAAAAATTTACAACAAAGGAAGCTACTTACGACTTGATTTAGCCATAAAGGCTCATTCCATCTGTAGTAGGGCCAAATACGCAGGTGACACCACCAGGCCAACTTACAGGCCTGATCTGTGGAGAGGCAAGCCCACGCAGTGTGCACAGGAATCCATGTGTTTCAGAAGTAATTCAAGTAAAATTTATGTCCATAGAGGTGATAAGTGATAGAGCCTTGTGAGAAAAGTTACACTGTGCATCTTTAAAGGTTCTATATTACGCTAAATTGACTCTTGAGATTTAAGTTAGAATGTTGTTACCTCATCAAAAACAGACCTGGAGTTGTGTTGTTTTTCATTCACATGTTTGACTCATCCTTTTATGCAAATCTAAAAAGCTCTGTTCCACTTTTATGATGTCATGAAGAGGTAGTTTTCAAATCAACAACTGCTTTTTACCTTTTGTTAAGCAGATATGTTAGTAGAGAAATTATCCAAATCTTTCTTTTGTGCGTTAAACATGTGACTGAAACAAAACACAACTCCAGTCATGTTTTATAACACAGATCAGAAAATAGTGACCCTTTAAAGTCTCCCATTTGAGATGATTTAACAAAGTTTAATGAAAAAACAAAAACAAAACAATATTCAGCATGTCCAGTCCTGAATCCTGAACTTTTTTTTTTTTTTTGGCAGACAGGAGATGGAGGTGCTGTGGTCCAAGCTCCAGAGTCTGGAGGAGGAGAGGGAACGTGCTGCTCTCACCTCCCCCCTCAGCCTCTCACATGGAGCGGGTGAAGAGCCACATGGAGACACAGGGGAGTGCCATGGACCCAAGCACCCAGGGACAGGGGCTCGGACGAGGGATCGGGCAGCACGGGTCATCCAGAGGGCCTGGAGGTCACACAGGGACATGGTCAGTAACAGCTTTTATCTTCCATGGTTTAAAACATGATATTCTAGTGTACAAAGGATAACGTCATGATAAACAAATACACAATATAACAGTACAACAACGAGACAAACACACAAACACACTCCAGTAAAATGACTGCTTAACACTGTAATGATTTGGCTTTATTAAAGATGGTGTTACAGACTTTGAACTTGTGTTATAACGTTCCCTCATCAAAAATATGCCTGAAGCAGCTTTAGATGTCATCCATACATGTTTGAACAATCTAGTGATCTCTCTCTGGGCTACTAACTAAATAGGAAGTGAACATGGAGGCTCTTCCGGCTCTTTCTAATTCTGGCTCCCATTGACTTACATTAGAATATTGTGGCTCCTCTCTCTGTGTCACTGCTGTGAGCCTCGGCATTTTGGTCTAAAAATGTTCATATTAATCCGCTCTACATCATCCTGTTTTGATTTTGCCATTTTGTCTGTAAATAAATTCCTATTCCTAATATAACCTGGCTCCAAATTTACCCCTTTAACCGCTAGAATCATCACACTCTTTTACCCGGAACACCAGGAGTGCAGCGACACATAACGTAGGCAGAGCTGCATACTCACGTACTTTTACAAAATTCACACCCGAGGCTGCTCCTGTGACGCCAGCCTCTGTGGATTCTCATGTTTAAACACTAAACTTTTCACATTGTTTATGTTTTCATTGTTGACTGGGTTTCCCCCATCAACCCAAAACATGCTACACAAGTCTCCAGGAAGAACAGTTGATAGTTAAGGTCAGTTAAATACGATCAATCAATGAACCTGTCCAGGGACGACAGGTGGAAATGAGCTCTGATGCTAAAATCTGGTACAAGCATCTCTCCTGTTAAGGTTAATGTCAAAATTGTGCGCTGTCCCTGTCTCAAATAAATAAACTAAATAGATAAATAAATAAATGAATTATGTTTTAAATCACAATACAAAAGTTGACAACAAGAGAGCCGATGTTTTGTAGAGATAACAAACTATCTGCAGTGCTCGCGTTAATTAAGATACTCACCAACTTTGGTCATCTGCTCCACGTGCCTTTTCCTTCAGAAGTTCTTGTAAAGTTTCTGTCTGCTGTCCTAAAGTGGTTTATCTTTGTCCTCCACGGCTGTAAACTTTCCACCATAAGTCATTCCCTGAGCTCCTGGATGTGACATATAGTGTAAATGTATTTTGAAAAGTCATTGGTTAAGTTACTTTTGACACTGCGTGCTTATTTCCTGTCTTTTCCCTGATAAAAAGCCTGGAGACACTCTGCTGCAAATTTAGAACTCCAACCTATGGGACCTATGTAGGATGCGCGCATGACACTGATGTAAATTGTCCGACCAGTTAAAATGGAAAGCTCTGCTGTGTGTTACTGTTTTGGTGTAAAAATCCTTCAAACTCTCATTACGTTTAGCTGTAACAGGGCAGCCACGAGGTCTTAAATGTCTTAAACAGGTCTTAAATTTCATGTTCCTAAATTAAGGCCTTAAAAAGTCTTAAATTCTGTTGTTCAAGTCTTATTTTTTTCACAAAGGCTTTCAATTTCATTAGCCTATTTTTTTGTTTTACTCAACCAGGCTGCAGTGCAATGTTAAATGGAAGGAGGAAAAAAACGTGAAATAACATAATATGAATGCACGTCTAATTTAGAGTATACACAGACAATACTTTAGTTTTGGCACCGCCGGCAATAAATAAACAACCAGTTTCGTCTACACTGCCCAAGACACAAAACTCTGGTCAGATCTGCTCACGTCGCGTACGTGTTTATGTCACATACATCACCACCGAGCATCACCACCGAGCCGCCAGACATGCACACAATCCAATTCCACACACTTTTGCATCACCGTATGCATGCAGATTTCCTCCCCAAAACATTCATCTAAAAGCAGAATAAAAAGTGAAGGCGCTGCACCACACTTTAGATATAGTACCGGTGGTTGGTTGGTTATTATTAGAAATGGATCTGGTGTTTTTCGCCCACATAGTGGGTGCGACGTTGGTCTTAATTTTCATTTAAGTGGTCTGAAAAAGGTCTTTAAAAAGTCTTACATTTGGGGTAGTCAAACCTGGGGATACCCTGTGTAAGATGCTGTCAGATTTAGCCCTCTCCTAAAAAAATCATTTGAGGCATGTTTTTGAAGAGGAAGTAATGTTATAACATGGTAGAAAACTCCAAAAAGTAAAGATACAATACAAATACACAACACAAAGAAGTAAGTATTTGAAGTAAATGACGACAGAAAGCAGAGGTAGAGAAGAGCTCTTCCTCCTCCACTTCTGTAATGACACTTTACTGTGTGAGCTGTGTGGAGTGGAGCACCAGCACACAGTCCAGAGCTGTCAGGAGCGCCAGGGAAAAGACACTGGCCTACATTCATCCTCATCCCTCTCTCTCTCTCTCTCTCTCTCTCTTCTTTTATGCCTCTTTCTCCGCTCTCTCTCCTCTGCTCTCTCCCCCTTTTCATCTCCTCTTTCTCTTCTCCCTCTTGTTTATTCTCTGCTGTCACTTTTGTCCTGTCGCTTCTCTCATCTCTCCTCTTTTCTCTTCTCTCTCCCCCCCTTTTGTCTCTCTTTCTCTCTCCCTTCTTTTCCACGTCACTCCTGTCCCTCCCCTTCTATTTGCGCTTCTTTACTACTTTCCTCTCCTCACTCTCCACTTTTCTATTCTCTCTCCCCTCTTCTCTCTTCCCCTTTTCACCTCCCCTCTCTCCTCTCCTCTTCTCCTCCCTCTTTATTCTCTTACCTCTCTTTACTTCTCTCTCTTACCTTACCTTTTTCTTCTCTTCACTCTTCACTCTTCACTCTCTCTCTCTCTATCTGTCCCCTTTTCTATTCTTTCTGTCCTCTTCTCTTTGTTCTTTTCTATTCTCTCTCCTCTTCTCTCTGTTCTTTTTCACTTCCCTTCTCTCCTCTTCTCTTCTCCTTCCTCTTCTCTATTCTCTTACCTCCCTCTCCTCTTTTCTATTCCCTCTCTCCTCTATCTTCTCTTCTTTTCTGTTCTCTCTCCTCTTCTCTTATTGCTCCTTCTCTTGCCTTTTCACTTTTCTGTTCACCTCTCTCTCCTCTTCTCTCCTCACTCTCCCGTTTTCTCTCTCTCTCCCCCTTTTCTATTCTCTCTGTTCTTTTCTATTCTCTCTCCTTCTCTCTCCTCTTCTCTCTGTTCTTTTTCATCTTCTTTCTCTTCTCCTCCCACTTCTCTCTTCTCTTTCCTCACACTCTTCTATCTTCTCTCCTCTTTTCTTTTCTCTCTCCTCTCCTCTCATTGCTCCTTCTCTCATCTTTTCACTTTTCTCTTCACTTCTCTCTCCTTCTCTCTACTCTTCTCTCGTCACTCTTCTGTTTTCTCTTTCTCTCTCTCTGTCTCCCCATTTCTATTCTCGCTGCCCTCTTCTCTCTGTTCTTTTCTATTCTCTCTCCTCTTCTCTCTGTTCTTCTTCTCCTCCCTTCTCTCCTCTTCTCCTCCCACTTCACTTTTCCCGTTTCCTCACCTCGCCTTTTCACTTTTCTCTTCACTTCTCTCTCCTTCTCTCTCCTCTTCTCTCGTCACTCTCCTGTTCTCTCTCTCTCTCTGTCTCTCCCCTTTTCTTTTCCCTCTGTCTTCTGTTTTTTCTATTCTCTCTCCTTCTCTCCTCTTCTCCTCCCCTCCCTCTTTATTCTCTTACCTCACTCTTCTTTTTTCTCTCTCCTCCCTTGTTCTCCTTTTCTATTCTCTCTCTTCTTCTCTCTATTATTTTCTATTCTGTCTCCTCTACCTTCTCTCCTCTTTTCTGTTCTCTCTCCTCTTCTCTTATTGCTCCTTCTCTCGCCTTTTCACTTTTCTCTTCCCTTCACTCTACTCTTCTCTTGTTACTCCCCAATTTGTCTTTCTCTTTCTTTTTCTCTCTCTCCCCTTTTCTATTCTTTTCACCTACCTTCTCTCCTCTTCTCCTCCCACTTCTCTCTTCTCTTTCCTCACTCTCCTCTTTTCTGTTCTCTCTCCTCTTCTCTTATTGCTCCTTCTCTCGTCTTTTCACTTCTCTTTCTCTTTCTTCTCTTTCTCTGTGTGTTTGTCAGGACGTGGTGTTGTTGCAGTCCACGCTGAGAGGACATCTCTACAGACAATCTCAACTCAAGGTGGGACTCCAATCATCTTCAAAAAACAACAACAAAAACGAGAGAATAGTGAAAGAAGATCAAAACAAACCCTCATTTTGATCAACACAAAAAAAACTGTAAAAAAAAATGAGATTGTAAGTAGATCTGAAGGATATTACGATCTGAAAACGGGCTTTAATCTCCACAAAATCCAACTTTTATGAGAGCTGTAGATTGTACTAGTAACTAAACCAGTACAAACTTCTGGTGACACTTTTTGACCAGACTGGGTTAAGCAGCCGCCCACCAACTGGAAGGTAGTCGGTTCAAATCTCTCCTGGGAAATGCTGTTTACTCACATTAAATTTGAGTAGACACATTAGTCAGCAATGTATATTAGGGGTGTGCAAAAATATCAAAATATATTGTATCACTTTTTGTAATGATACAGTATCGATATCGTGGGCTGCTGCTGTATCGATATATCGCCAAGTCAATTTTTTGGTTTATTTTACAAAATTATTTTGTCACAGCTACAGTTTTGTTGCTCGTTTAGAGGAAAAAAACTCATTTATGCGACACATTTGACATTTTCACTGTTTTCAGGATTAAAATGTTTGTGTTTCATATGAACTTTGCACAAAAAGTGGTTTCACAAAGACTTTTAGTGTCACAGCCATGAATTAGCCATTATTTTTTATTGAACTGTACTGAATTGATTTGAAATATATCGTATCAAACCGAAAAAGCACTGTATCGAGGTGTGTATCGTAAAATGTGCTGTTAACTCTTTCCACCTCGGACGCCCACTAGGAACAGCCCATACATGTATTACTAGGGCTAAACATAGAGCATAATTGCATAAAAGAAAATAGACTTCCACCAGTGATTATAAATGATTTTTACACTCATGAACTTAATTGAAACACAGACATATTTGTATCTCTGGAAACCTTCGACTCTGAACTCTTCATTTCTGGATGTTTAAATGTGATTCAACTCATTTACAGGTTTATAACAGCTCACTGAAAATGAGAGTTTACCTGGTCAGGAAAACAAAAACATACATTCAGCATCTGATAGTTGCATGTTCTGAGTACTATATTCATTTTAAAATATATTTGTTTTTGTCTTTGTATTTGTATTTGTATTTGTAAAGTATTTAAACAGATTTCATATCACCAGATACAGTAGAGCCAAGTGTGCACCTGTTTTTCCTGTTGTACACCTGTGTGTAATAATCAAGCATAAAGTACAGACGCATCAGCGGCATTCTCATCTTCATAAGTTTTACTCTCTGAAATTCCGTTGCTGTCCCAGTGTTCCACTTTATAATCAACTTCATCCTCACTTTAAAATCTATAAAAGTCACTTTCTTTACAGTTATCCATAAAATATGCCTGCTCCTCATTATTTCTAAAACTGTGCGCCGCAATCTTTCCATTGCACGTGTTTCGTGTTGTGTTTTTTCCGGAAGCTACAATCGTCACTACTTCGATTAACTTTGATAAAAATCAGCGAAAACATATCCTTGAATCCTATTGGTCAGTCTAGTGTGGGTTGTAGTGGCCCCCACCTATCACAGCTTCTGTTTACATGTGAAAAACTGGAACCGTTTCTAATGGTCGTCGTTAGTGAAACAGCGGAGGTGTCAAAACACGTTATTAAGGAAACAAGAGGGTTGTCAAATGTCGTCTTCATGGGGGAAAGAGTTAAACGTGCATTGTGTAACTTTTCACCTGTTTGCCTGGAATGTTCCAGAGTATGACTTTAAGCAGCTCTACTTTACATTTATTCAATGACAGGTGGTTTTATATCTCAAAAATACCTACAAATACAGACATTCTGACTGTGTGCGGGGTCGCCTCTCCACAGATCTGACCTGTAACTTGGTCTGGTTTGGTCTCCATGAAGATAGAAAGTTTTAATGCCATACTGTGAAACTTTCAGACAAAGCAGTAACATGTCTCTGATATAATAATCTTAGTCAACCAGACAAACAACAAATTAAAACAATGAACACAAATAAAAACAATAATAATATTCAGCAAAAGTTACAACCAAATACTGGTAAATAACCACACTGACAAAAAATGATACAAAATATAACAATAATGAAAAAAAACAAACAAAGAAGACAAACAGGTAATCAGGACCAACAGACAGAAAAACACAGACACAGAGAGGACAAAACAGAACAAGACAAACTGGACAGGACAAGACAAGCACCTGATGTCCCCGTCCCAACCATAGCAGGTGGAAAGTTACACAATGCACCTCTACGGGTTTAGATTTTGAAATGAATTCCCTTGTCTTGACTCGTGTGTCTTCTCTTGTCTTCACATCCACAGTCAGCACAGAGCACGGACCCGGGGACAAATGGACTATTGGACGTGAGGAGCCTGGTCCTGCTGCAGTCTGCGCTCAGAGGACACATGACGCGCTCCGGCCTCTGTCCTCACAGGTAACACACGACATCAGAACATCTGGTTCTAAACTCAACACACTTCAGGTTGTGATAGTGTGGAACTGTTTTTATTTTAGTGTTAAATGTCATGAGTTCTCAAAAATTGTGTGATTAGCTTTTAGAGTGGACAATTATAAAGTACAATTTTATATTAAAAAATAATGCAGAATAGAAAAAAGTTAAACATGGGCTGTAGTCATCTGTGTTAAAACTGAAAAATATTGTTATATTGATGTTTCATATTTGTGCAAAACCTGAACCCCTGTCATGACTTTTCATGGTCCTGTCAACTGCACTGGTTATTATTTCTCTTTAAATACATCCACCTCACTTCTCCTGAATATCTCAAACAGTTTTTAATTCCATTCACATCCTCGTACAGTTTACATCACGCAGATCAGATATTTTTTGTCAATATTTAAATATAAAGCTCCCTCTAATTGGAACAATCTTCCCTCATCATTAAATTCTGTTCCTTCATTAAAAAATGCTCCAGTGCAATATTTACAGAAACAAAAAACAATTAAAGCCGCAAGCGGCGTCGAACGGCCCTCGCCGCCGCCGCCCCGCGAACGCCGCACCTGCAAAATAGTGGCCCCGCCAACATCATACCGTAAACGCCGTGTCCGCAAACTCTGTGCCTGCAAATGGCAAAATGACATAGTACGCCTTTAGATGTTCTTTGCACCCCCTACTGGCCAACCTTGAAAAATTCCCATGTCAGCAATATATGTTTTTTCTTCTAGTCATTAATAGAATTTAATTCCCAAATTTGGTGCAGATCCGACAATGTTGATGTTTCATGTCTATGCTAGGGGGCGCTATAGTGTTTTTTCATATGTTTTATAGTGTATCATATTCAGACTGAGATCACACATTAGTGATTCAAATTTCAACACAATCGGACTAAGTCTGTGCGAACAGGAGCAAATAATGTCACCTTGAAATTCGCCAAACCTTTGACCAAATTTTGCAGCTTCGCCGCACGTAAACCGTGACAGTTATCAAAAAAAATCAGCTAACTTTAGATGTTCCACTTCTCTAGATGATGTACGGTGATTTTCAGCCCTGTGGGTGAAGCGCCTTCAGAGGAGTTCGTTCAAACGCAATGTGAACGAAAATGCGGACTGAAACTTCAATCCAAGATGGCCGCCTTCTGGTTTGTCAGGGGGCGTGGCCATAATAAAAAATTTTGTTTGTCTTGACATGACAAATGTATGTAGCAAATTTCATGGCTCTACGACAAAGTTGACCAGGACGTATGCCATAGGAGCCAAATTTTTGAGACTTTGCGCCCCTGCTGGCCAACAGTGAAAATGGTATCATGTCCATAATATAATTTTTTGCTCGTAATCATGCATAGAATTTAATTCCCAAATTTGGTGCAGATCTGACTATGTTGACGTTTCATGTCTATGGTAGGGGGCGCTATAGTGTTCACTTTTCATATGTTTTATAGTGTATTATATTCAGACTGAGATCACACATTAGTGATTCAAATTTCAACACGATCGGACTAAGCATGTGCGTGTAATATATTTTTAAATATTTTTGGGAGGAGTTTTAGCGCCCCTGCTGGACAACGGTGAAAAATTCGCCATGTCCATAATATACTTTTTTGCTCGTAATTATGCATAGAATTTAATTCCCAAATTTGGTGCAGATCTGATAATGTTGACGTTTCATGTCTATGCTAGGGGGCGCTATAGTGTTTTTTCATATGTTTTATAGTGTATTATATTCAGACTGAGATTACGCATTAGTGATTCAAATTTCAACACGATGGGACTAAGTCTGTGCGAACAGGAGCAAATAATGTCACCTTGAAATTCGCCAAAACTTTGACCAAAATTTGCGGCTTCGTCGCACGAAAACCGTGACAGTTATCAAAAAAAATCAGCTAACTTTAGATGTTCCACTTGTCTAGATGATGTACGGTGATTTTCAGCCCTGTGGGTGAAGCGCCTTCAGAGGAGTTCGTTCAAACGCAATGTGAACGAAAATGCGGACTCAAATTTCAATCCAAGATGGCCGCCTTCTGGTTTGTCAGGGGGCGTGGCCATAATAACATTTTTTGTTTGTCTTGACATGACAAATGTCTGTACCGAATTTCGTGGCTCTACGACAAAGTTGACGTCGGGGGGACGTCTCCCATAGGCGCAATGTATTTTGACTTTTCGAGGTGGCGCTGTGTCGCCATTTTTTTATGCCCGTGCACGAAACCTATATTTTATCGAATTTTTCGCCACTTCTGAATTTTGGGCAAAGTTTGGTGAGTTTTTGAACGTGTTTAGGGGGTCAAATTAGGGTTTAAAGAGCAGAAGAATAATAATAATAATATTAAAGCCGCAAGCGGCGTCGAACGGCCCTCGCCCGCCGCGCCCGCAAACACCGTGCCCGTGAACGGCGCACCCGCAAATCGTGCGACCTACCAACACCATACCCTAAACGCCGTGCCCGCAAACTCTGTGCCTGCAAATGGCGAAATGACATAGTACGTCTTTAAATGTTCTTTGCGCCCCCTGCTGGCCAACCTTGAAAAATTCCCATGTCAGTAATATATGTTTTTTCTTCTAGTCATTAATAGAACTGAATTCCCAAATTTGGTACAAATCCGACAATGTTGACATTTCATGTCTATGGTAGGGGGCGCTATAGTGTTCACTTTTCATATGTTTTATAGTGTATTATATTCAGGTTGAGATCACGCATTAGTGATTCAAATTTCAGCATGATCGGACTACGCATGTGCGTGTAATATATTATTTTATGTTTTTTGGAGGAATAATTGCGCCCCTGCTGGCCAACAGTGAAAAATTCCCCATGTCCATATTATACTTTTTTACTCGTAATCATGCATAGAGTTTAATTCCCAAATTTGGTGCAGATCCGACAATGTTGACGTTTCATGTCTATGGTAGGGGGCGCTATAGTGTTCACTTTTCATATGTTTTATAGTGTATTATATTCAGACTGAGATCACACATTAGTGATTTAAATTTCAACACGATCGGACTAAGTATGTGCGAACAGGAGCAAATAATGTCACCTTGAAATTCGCCAAAACTTTGACCAAATTTTGCAGCTTCGCCGCACGTAAACCGTGACAGTTATCAAAAAAAATCAGCTAACTTTAGATGTTCCACTTGTCTAGATGATGTACGGTGATTTTCAGCCCTGTGGGTGAAGCGCCTTCAGAGGAGTTCGTTCAAACACAACGTCAGCGAAAACGCGGACTCAAATTTCAATCCAAGATGGCCGCCTTCTGGTTTGTCAGGAGGCGTGGCCATAATAAATTTTTTTGTTTGTCTTCACATGACGAATCTGTGTACCGAATTTCATGGCTCTACGACAAAGTTGACCGGGACGTCTCCCATAGGCCCCAAATTTTAGAGTCTTTGCGCCCCTGCTGGCCAACAGTGAAAAATTCCCCATGTCCATAATATACTTTTTTACTCGTAATCATGCATAAAATGTAATTCCCAAATTTGGTGCAGATCCGACAATGTTGACGTTTCATGTCTATGGTAGGGGGCGCTATAGTGTTCACTTTTCATATGTTTTATAGTGTATTATATTCAGACTGAGATCACACATTAGTGATTCAAATTTCAGCACAATCGAACTAAGTATGTGTGAACAGGAGCAAATAATGTCACCTTGAAATTAGGTGAAATTTTGACCAAATTTTGCGGCTTCGCCGCACGTAAACCGTGACAGTTATCAAAAAAAATCAGCTAACTTTAGATGTTCCACTTCTCTAGATGATGTACGGTGATTTTCAGCCCTGTGGGTGAAGCGCCTTCAGAGGAGTTTCGTTCAAAACGCAACGTCAGCGAAAACGCGGACTCAAATTTCAATCCAAGATGGCCGCCTTCTGGTGTGTCAGGGGGCGTGGCCATAATAATATTTTTTGTTTGTCTTGACATGACGAATGTGTGTACCGAATTTCGTGGCTCTACGACAAAGTTGACCGGGATATCTCCCATAGGCGCGAAATTTTTGCATTTTCCAGGTGGCGCTGTGTCGCCATTTTTTTATGCCCGTGCACGAAACCTATATTTTATAGAATTTTTCGCCACTTCTGAATATGTTGCCAAGTTTGGTGAGTTTTTGAACGTGTTTAGGGGGTCAAATTAGAGCTCAAAGAGCAGAAGAATAATAAAATAAAATAATAATAATAAAAATTTTAGCAAAAACAATATATCCGAAAACATTAGAACAACATATTATACGTTTTTTGAAAGCTCTCGACCTTTCCCCACGTCACCGTGGGGTCATTGGTGAGTGACGGGCGCGTCTGGACCATCTCATCGGGGTCAACCTCTGACCTCCCATTGACTTCCATTCATTTTAGCAGTAGTAAATATGAGCCAGGCCTTGGGCGTGGGTTACTGGGATACTGCTGTTCGTGCCGGGGGCGACCGTGGACATAGTTGCATGTCGTCTTGTCGCATTCGGACATGCGCACGTCGCTCCCCATTCGCTCCGCTGAGCGGAAGCAATAGGCCCTACGCCCTGTCGGGGCTCGGGCCTAAAAATAATAATAATTCGAGCAAAAACAATATATCCGAAAACTTTAGAACAACATATTATACATTTTTTGAAAGCTCTCGACCTTCCCCACGTCACCGTGGGGTCATTGGTGAGTGACGGGCGCGTCTGGACCATCTCGTCGGGGTCACCCCACTGACCTTCCATTGACTTCCATTCATTTTAGCAGTAGTAAATATGAGCCAGGCCTTGGGCGTGGGTTACTGGGATACTGCTGTTCGTGCCGGGGGCGACTGAGGACAATGTTGCATGTCGTCGTGTCGCATTCGGACATGCGCACGTCCCTTCCCATTCGCTCCGCTGAGCGGAAGCAATAGGCCCTACGCCCTGTCGGGGCTCGGGCCTAATTACATGGGTTATCTTGTTGACTATTTTGTGACAATATTTGAACTCAGAATAAGTTAAATTTGACTTATTCTGTGTACCGTAACAGTCATGTGCAAGTGTGTGTGTGTGTGTGTGTGTGTGTGTGTGAGTGTGTTTGTGTATGGTTGTGTCGAGTTTGCTGTTTTTTTATTTTTTTTATTTTACTGTACTTACTTTCTGTATTTTACTGTACTTGCTCTACTGTATCTGTCTTCTGTTGTTGTGATTCTGAGGGCCCCCTCGAAAATGAGATGGTGAAACATCTCAAGGGGCTTATCCTCCGAACAAATACATTCATAAATTTACAGGCATGTTCAGCAATTTTCTGATTATAACACTGTAAATCTGATCAGTGCTGGTATCAGGATGAAGGAAGATAAGAAGATATGATTTAGACAAAATAGTATTATCATATTTCAAAGATTAGGACAAAGTGTGACTAAACAGCAGTGGTTTTTCATGTGCAAAATGCATTGAAGTCACTTGTGTGTTTGTGTTCCAGCTCAGGGTTAGTGGAGCGGTCAGGATGTGACCACAGTGTGACCGCAGCAGGACTCCAGAGCCCTCACAGAGCAGGTGAGCAGCTCTTTACACTCATCTAGGCTTTTCAAATACGCCCATGCAGGTGTTAATGCCTGTAATATTCCACAGTATGCCATTACGTTTGTTTATCTCCATGGAAAAAAGCAGGTGATGACACCAGGCCAAATTACAGGTCAGATCTGTGGAAAGGCGTCTCTGCTCACAGTAATAATCATGTAAAATGTTTTGATTCCACTAAAACACCTTTAATTGAACAAACGTTTAAGACCCACTTTTATTCTCTTTTAACATTGTGTGAGTTGTTCGGTCTTCTGTGTTTTTAATTAATTTTTAATTCTATTTTATTTTTTTTATCGCTATTCTAAGGTTTTTGCTCTTCTTTGATTTCACTGGTTTTATTATCTTAACTCATCTTTCTCAGGCTCAAATTAATTTTTAGGATCAGGAAAAATCTGATATTTGGGGGAAATGGTCATATGGGGCAGTAATATAAAATCCAGACTTTTTTTTGAGAGACCTTCACATCCAGTGTGTTCTGGGATGTTGCAGATTTGCAGCATTGGTCCGGTGTGGTAAATTAACACTGAAGACTGAAAATGATATGAATGCTAACTTTATGTGTAAACCACTTTTCATAACAATGAAAACATAAAGCACAGAGTAACAGCTTTACAGTGGCAGAACAACATCACTTTTTCGTGTGGTGCTCCAAAAAATAGTTTTTATCCTTTGAAAACAACAAAAGTACTTTGCACTTCTGGCAGGTCATTTGTGTGTAGTCATTCTTGCACAGTCTGCATCGTCCACGTTTATCAGCATGGATGGGAAAAAAGGCTCCTGAGTAAAAAAAAGCTCATATAATCTGGATGTGGAGTCAGTAGGTAATTGGCATTTAGCTGTTGCAAATCTGCAACGCCTGCCTGGAGAGGGTTAAGACCAGTGTGATTAAATCTGAGCGTTTATTTTATCCTTATATTATTATTGGTGTTATTACCATGGATTTGAGCAGCACTTTAGAAACTGTTTATGAAATGTGCTATAGAAATAAAGTGGATTGGACTGAACGCTAATTCATACTAAATTGTAGAACTTTTATGAGAGCTGTAGATTGTACTAGTAACTAATCCAACGCAAACTTCTGGCGACACTTTTTGACCACACTGGGTTAAGCTGCCACCCACCAACTGGAAGGTAGTTTGTTCAAATCGCTCCTGAGTGCAGAATGTTCCTGGGAAATGCTTATTTACCCACATCCAACACAAAAACCTGCAAAACTACTGATTTACTCAACCAATGGAGAAGATAATTATTACATGTTTATTAGTTTTATTTGTGGATGCAGTAGTTGGTGTTTTAGTACAATGTGCTGTTAAACGTGCTCTGTGTACTGTATTTTTTTTACTATAAGTCGTGCTTTTTTCATGGTTTGAGTGTTTCCTGCGACTTATTCTCCAGTGTGACTTCAATATTAAAATTTTCAGACTGACAGCCACGAGAGGCTCTAGTCTCATGTGTCTGTATCTAGTACTACTATTACTCCTGTACCACTGTCACTTCACACTCTACTGCGCATGTCTCCTGTAGAAAAAGCCACTGTCTCGCTGCATATAGTGAAATATGGATAAACTGTGGACATAAAACTGGATTGGATTGAACGCTTATTAATACTAAATTGTAGAACTTTCTAAGCAAAACATTAACATCTCTGTGGATGAAATCAGGTGGCAGACCCTTCCGTTCTCATCAGAAAAGCTCCATAGTGCAGAAAGGCGATGACATTCTAGCTCATTTCATTTGTTTATTTTTTCTTGCAGGTTTGGACAGAGGTTCTGTGGATATAAAACCGGGTGAAGATGTTGGTGAAGCTCCTGTTAAGATAAACCAAGGTCAGTGAAGTGAAAAAATACATGGTCATATGCATCAGTAAATTAGTTAAAATTGCTTAATTGATACTTACATTAAGAAGTGACATCACACCGGGGTGTTCTACATGTATTTCTATGGTGGCGTGTTCAGTAGTTACCATGGAGACACAATGCATACATGAGGAAACACAGCCAGAAAAGTCTTAAGATTGTCTGAAAACTTTAGAAAAAATGCTCATGTTCAGTAGCCTGTGAGCAATACAAGTGTTCATGATCATGTTTAGGAGTTTTAACATAATGTTCTGTGAGTTAGCTTCACGTCTCCAGAAAATGATGACATCAGATGCAAAGTACCGTATTTTCCACACCATAGAGCACGCTCATAAGCCTCCAACCCCATCAAAAAACGACCGCAATCCAGAGTGCCCTATACACCAATCCACGACTTGAGTAAACTACAAAGCCGCACCAACCGCAGAACACGCCAACACACACGGAGCAGACAGCGACCGCACAGCGAAAAACACCCACAGACACACTCATCACTCCACGCCGACGAGGAACAGAACGGAGGAACGAACTGAAAAAACTAGTGCAATGTGCCACTTCTAGACACGACTGAACAACTGAGTCACGCCGACAATCCAGCGGCACCCTCCCTCCCAGACAGTTTTCACCCTCAACCACGCATCATCCGCCCGCTATCCATTTGCACCCAAGGTTTTGACCAATTTTCAAAACCGCACTCGCTTGCCATTTGCCGACTGATTTTAGATTTTAGAACAATCATATAGCAAACAAACGAAGGAGGCTTGATAAAAATGCAAACTCTATAGCTCATTCATTCCAAAATTCGCTCAATGTGCATACCATATTTTCCGGGCTATTGGACGCGCTCTTAAGCCTCCAACCGCATCAAAAAAACGACACACAATCCAGAGCGCCCTATACACGAATCCACTCAAGTGCCCCTGCATGACTTCAGTAAACTACTACAAAGCCACACCACGCAAACACGCACTGAGCAGACAGCGACCGCACAGCGAAACACACCCCCAACCACACTCATCACTCCACGCCGACGAGGAACGGAACGGAGGAACGAACCGAAAAAGCGAGCGCAATGTGCCACTTCTAGACACAACTGAACAACTGAGTCACTGTGAACGCCACAAACAAACAAAACCACTCACCCATCACACTGTTGGGTTAAAGTCCAGTGTGGTTTATTTGTGAAAAAAGTTTGAAAACAGACCATTAAATGCACCTTATAATTCAGAGAGCCTAATAGTGCGGAAAATACAGTATCAGTTGCTAATAAACTGTAATCTCTGGTTGGTCTGGTCAAAATAGCAGTTGTTCACTTTATCAGTAAATACCACGGGGCATAATAAATCCATACACATGCATTAGCCAGAACAGTGTATAAAAGTAAATGGGAGAGCTGTGGATCTTCCTGATAACCTGCGGGGTGACTACTGCAAAATAGAGAAGAGTTTTGAATAAATACTAAGTTTTGTACAGTATTTATTGGCATTTTCACATTGCCCTTAGCCAAATGTTAAATGAGGCCAGCTGAATTCTGTGGATGTGGTACTATACGATCCCAGTGGTGATGGTTTTTGGTTGGTCATGGTTTAATCGAGCCTGATTCATCAGCTGGTTTTACTTTGTTTTAATTTGTACAAACCGTCTGACCTGACGCCTTAGATTTTGTTCGCTTGACGGAAGGCAGGTATTTTTTATCATTTAACCAATCGCTGTTATTTGGTTGTGACGTATGTAAAGCGCTGCTAACTGGGCTAACTGGTATATTAAGCTTTTCCCAAATCCTGTAGAAAGAAGGGCAATAATGTCTTTCCCCTTGATGAAATTCACCAAACATTCTCTTTATTCTGGCTTTAAATCCTCGATCTCAGGAATCATTGACAACACTGATTGGCTGGTGCTCGAACTCGCACTTCCGGGGTTTTTGCGAACTGTCTGTTGTATTTTGAGTCCTGACCTAGTTGCTGGAGAGAAATGAAATTGAGCAGAGGCACTACAGGGTAGCCGCGGAGTCTTAAAAGTCTTAAACAGGTCTTAAATTTCATGTTCTTAAATTAAGGCCTTAAAAAGTCTTAAATTCTGTTGTCCAAGTCTTATTTTTTTCACAAAGGTCTTAATTTCATTAGCCTATTTTTTAGTTTTACTCAACCGGGCTGCAGTGCCATGTTAAATGGAAGGAGGGAAAAAATCATGTAAAATGATTATAATACTTTGGTGTCATCAGCAGAGTGGAGGAAGATGTTGGATGGATCATGGGGAAGTGTAGCTTTAATCCACAGTGACTCTTAGATTCTAGATTTAGTAGTTGGTTGGTCATTATTAAAATTGGATCTGATGTTTTTCGCCCACACAATGGGTGCGATGTTGGTCTTAATTTTCATTTAAGTGGTCTTAAAAAGGTCTTTAAAAAGTCTTAAATTTGGTGTTGTCAAACCTGGGGATACCCTGCACTAGGTGGCGCCAGTCTGGCTAGTTTTGATCATGGGTTTGTCCTGATGTTGTCTTGGTTTTAGTCCTGCTCTAGTCCTGGTTCAGTTCTAGTTCCAGGTTTGATATGTTGAATGTAAATGTGAACTTGCACTAAGAACCATTTCAAAACAAAACCACCACAAACTCTTCTAACATATTTATTCCTTTTCTCTTTCACAGCCCGTACACTTCCCTCTTCACAAACCAAATCTGGCGAGGCTTCGGCAGGGGATTCTGACGATTCAGATGACATCATCGTTTCTCCGTCTCGTCCAATCAGAAGAAGAGAAGTCCTGATCACATAGAGCCAATCAGATGTGTCCATGTACTGCAGCGTCCAATCATAAGACGTTGCCAGATTAGACACATACACCATAATTTATAAAGATACGCATCAAACGTGCTGCATCTACCCTGCTTTTAACTGCACTATGTCACTTTTCTGGTGGAGTTTATTAAATGCTTGTTGCTATGGAGATGACATTGCTTTGCCTGGAATGTTACACAGTGTGGCATTGAACTTAAAGGGTCTATATTAAACTATTTTCTAGTCTGTTATAATGTTTCCTTGTGAAAAACATACCAGGAGTTGTGTTTTGTTTCATTCACACACATAACACACGCAAATCCTGCATATAATCCTGCTGAGTTCTTCTCTCAAACTGAAAACACGCTGTTCCACCTTGTGATGTCATGTGGTATTATAAAGGATTACTCAAACATACGTGAATGAAACAAAACACATCTCCAGGTATTGTGTTTTATAAAGGACCTTCAAAAATACCGTCAAAAACAAGCACTTACTGTGAGTGTGGTTGCCTCTCCACAGATCTGAACTGTAACTTTGCCTGGTGCCATCCTTTGCTTATATCCATGGTGATAGATGAGTGGCAGGGGCAGGTGGCAGATGCTCCCCCAGAAATGTTACACAGTGCACCTTTATAGAGCTCTTAGTCCAATAATCCAGGTTGTTTCTCGTGGAGATAGTTTTTTGCCTAAGTGCCTAACGCGTTGATGGACAGTTGATTCGTTTAGATGTTGTCTGTTGGAGTCCTCTGTGTGTAATGTGATTTACACCGTGGGCCTGGCCTAAGGAGGAACACGGGTTTATTCATGTGTGGAAAACAATAGAGTTCTAACTAATGCACTGCTGAGCCAAACTGAGTACATGATTATACTGCTGTAGGACGACACAAGCCTATACTAACACATGGAAGTGTGCAAGGGCTCCTGACCACAGCACAACACACACACACAGCCCACATGTGACAGTCAGAGGGACTGGAGAGGGCACATGTGTGTGTGAGGGACTGAAGAGGGCACATGTGTGTGTGAGGGACTGAAGAGGGCACATGTGTGTGTGAGGGACTGAAGAGGGCACATGTGTGTGTGAGGGACCATGAGCTGATCTCAACACTGAACAGAGCTGCACTGAACATGTCTCCTTCTTTGGTGGTTCCACATTTCACTGGACTTTGCCATTAGGATGTGTGTGTTCACAGTTGTCCCTGAAGTGGTTTTGTCAGATCACACTGGCAGACTCAGTGCAGGCATCATGATTTTCTCATGTGTGCTCCGTCCAATAAACATCTCTTTTCTAATGACACGAGTGTGTGCTTGTCTCTGTTATAAGGCTGTAATAGCGTCATGTGATCGTCAGGGGGAGGCGTTTTTGCGCATTTGCCCTTTTCCCTCCTCTCACAGACTTTCTCATGCACATGCACGCGCGCGCACGCACGCACCCGCTCTGACTGTGTGTGGCAGAGCTGTGCTGCTGCAAAGCCCCGTCCTCTTGGGCTTTTTAAACGCTGTGTTCGCTTCACGCTTCGACAATAGCTCCAGTCTCCGCTGCTGCGGCGGACCTCACAGTGTCGCGCCGCGTGAGCACCGCGCGGAGGAACACCGCGGTTGTGCACGTGAGAAGAAAGAGGTCCGAGGCTGAAGAATCTCCGGATAAAAGCGTTTAACCCGAGCCCCGCCGGAGCGCCGCTCAGAGAAGCCCACTGCAGACACCGAGGCCGCGGCGGTGAGATGTGACCGAGCCGCGCTCCAGCGTCCAGGCACCGGGGCTTTTGTTCGATGCCCGCCGCAGCTCGCAGCGCCCGGCCGCGTTGATGCCGCGTTGATGCCGCTGACCCCGGCAGGATTGAGCACGACGTCCAGCGGCTTTGGGAAGACAAAAGGTGTCTGGAGCGCGCACCCTGCACAGACGCACACGCACATTAGGTAGGTTCCTCTGATTCTTTGCGCTTTAGACGCGGATTCGGGAGCGAGCTGCGGGTTCTCTTGTTGCCGTGGAGACTGTGGGACTGCGGCACTTTGATCTGAATAAAGCCTCTTAATGGTGCTTTTTGTGAAGCCAGTCCAGACACCGGGCTCCTAATATGAGACAAAAGCTGGAGTGCACTTTGTTTAACAGGGACATTGCATTGACCTACATACATTCATCCCCGCGTCTGTGCACATTCACCGCACTGTCTGCACGCGTGTTGTTGTGCGTGTTGTTGTGTGTTGCCGTGCCCGTGGCGCTCCGCACGCACATGCACACGGCTGCACACTGTAGGCTCGTACTGTATGACCTCATAGCTCGAGTCTGCCTCAGTCTGACAATGGGCCGCCGCTCGAGCGCTCCCACTGCGGTGATTTACGGAGCTAATGCCCGGCGAGCGGCCCGTGACGACCCGCGGGACACCACGCAACAATGCCCACGCACGGACCCGCAGCTTTTACGTGACATATGAAGACGGAGGCCCGGGGATTTAATGTCACTCCTTGTTCATTGGGCAGGTTGATTGGCCTTAGATCTGCACTGATTAGGCCTACACACATTTTCTTCTAGAGTCAGCTGCAGACACCTTCTTCCATTGACTAGACCTACACATCTTTTTCCACTGACTAGGCCTACAGACAATGTTCTTGCATTGAATAGGCCTACATACATTTTCTTCTAGAGTCAGCTACAGACACCTTCTTCCATTGATTAGGCCTACAGACATGTTCTTCCACTGACTAGGCCTACACACATGTTCTTCCATTAACTAGGTCTACAGAGATGTTTTTCTAGGGTTGGGTCTGCAGACACCATCCACTGACTAAACCTACAGACACGTTCTTCCATTGACTAGGCCTACACACATGTTCTTCCACTGACTAGGCGTACATACATTTTTTTCCCCTACCGACTAGACCTACAGATAATGTTCTTCAATTGGCTAGGCCTACACACATGTTCTTCTACTGACTAAGCCTACTGACATGAACTTGGCTCATAGACATGTTCTTCCATTGACTAGGCCGAAAGACATGTTCTTCTTCTGACAAGGCCTACACACATGTTCTTCTAACTAACTAGAACTACACACATGTTCTTCTGACTAGGCCTTCACACATGTTCTTCCACTGTCTAAGCCTACACACATGTTCTTCTGACCAAACCACACATGTTCTTCTTCTGACTAGGCTTTAGGAGATGTTCTTCCAGACTCAGACCTCCATCAGCATCAGGATAAGTGGCTCTGATTGCATTGCTTTGGTAATGGCTTCTCGGGTGGTTTACTGTGATGCTGCTGTCTGCTCCAAATTGAATGATGCACATGATAATGAGTTTTTATAATACCAATCCCATTAACTCACTGACCTTCATTTGACTGCACAATTTAAAGCTCCTACGATACGCAAAATGGACTCTAGTGAGCTTTAAGCCATGTGAGAATACTGTTACCTCATCACAAACATACACTACCTGGACTTTATTATTATTCTGTCTACATCTCTGACGCTCTAAATGCTGTGTTCTTGCTTCTCTTATTCTTTAGTTCAGTAGAGATTGGCAATTCCAGGTCTGAAATCATCTAAATGATTCTAGTGAAGATGTATGGAGATTAAAAACACAGTGGAGCACTTCCTGTATCACCATATGCAGTGTTGGGGAGTAACGGATTACATGTACTGGAGTTACATAATCAGAGTACAAATTATGAGTAACTGTATTCAGTTACAGTTACTGTTTCAGTGAGTGGTAATTGGATTACAGTTACTTTGTTGAAATAAATGGATTACACAGAGGTATTTTCCTGTTTTCACCTTTTGGGCTAAACCAGGACTAAAACCAGGACTAAACTAGGACTAAACCAGGACTAAACTAGAACAAAATTAAGACTAAAACCAGGACTAAACTAGAACTAAACTAGGACTAAACCAGGACTAAACTAGAACAAAATTAAAACTAAAACCAGGACTAAACTAGAACTAAACTAGGACTAAAACCAGGTCTAAACCAGGACTAAACTAATACAATATGACACTAACAGTAGGTGGACATAATTGTGATTTCATATAAAAATAATTTCTCTATCAATAATATTTTTTATGTGGTCAAGTATGAGTCATTTTCAGGATGTGGTTGTTACATTCATGTAGTTTTAAAAAACATGACAATATATATATTTTTAATTTATTTATTAAATGACAAATGGTAATATACAAAACAAGTGAAAAAGTATGACAATATCAAGTAATCCAAAGTATTCATATTACATTACTCCCTTTAAGTAATTTAATGGATTACGTTACAGACTACATTTTGGGATATGTAATCTGTAATCTGTAGGGGAATACATTTTAAAAGTCACCTTCCCAACATTGACCATATGACATCACAAGGTGCAAATGTTTTCCATTTGAGAGAAGAAACTCAGCCTAAATGTGCAGGTTTGTGTGTTCAAATTGTGTGAATGAAACAAAACACAACTCCAGGTGTGTTTGTGATGAGGAAACATTAGAACACAGATCAGAAAACAAAGTCATATGGGGCCTTATATAACAGTATTAGTTTTATTATTATCGGTCAAACCACAACTTTGGATTTCACAATTAGATAGATACTTTATTGATAAGATAAGATAATCCTTTATTGTCTCCCATGGGAGAAATTTGTCTTGGGACAGAGGGTCACATGTTTTATCAAAAAACAGGACAACACAACACAAAGCAGCACATAAACAAACACCATAAAACAAAGTAAATCCCAAGATCCCAAGAGAAATTCAAGTTTTTGATTTAGAACAATTTTTTAGGGCAAAGTAGCCATCTTACAGACAGTGGAGTAAAAGAGTACTGCAAGTTTATACTCAAGTAAACTGTACAAGGTTACACATGAAAAATACTACTCGGTGTGCTCATTACTCGTGAACAGATTTTTTGCAGTATTTAAATCAGTGCAGTGCCTACAGTTAGCATCACTCCCCAGGGATGTTACTCCCCATGTTGATGACATCAGCTGCAGTATCTCTCACTTAGCACTTCTTCCCTCTTCTGGCCAGTGCACACTCATACTCACATTTGTTACGACCCAGCTCGTTGGGGTGAGGGAAGTAAGAAAAATTTAAACCAAGATGTAAAATTAAATAAATTAAATAATGCTTAATTAACAGGAATGTAAAAGTAAATTAACAAAACAGACTAAAATATACAGAAAATAACCTAAGTTAAGAAACAAAACGACAGACAATGGGTTTTGTGCCACAAAATGGGCCACGCAGGCTTAGATATCAACAAGTGGTAAAACTAAAGGACACACACAAAATAAAACACAAGTTCCCCAAATTAAACCGCATAAACCCACAAACAGAATCAAGTGACCAAATAAAAAAAGGCACAAACCAGAACTAAACTAAACTACACACATGAACATGAACACAAACACAAACACAAACACAAAATGACAGACTGGCCATCAAGGCCAGTGCCCTGAACAGGTGCAGACAATCTCCTTAAATAGGGGGCGTGGCTGCAGGTGAGGTGGGCGTAGACCTGCCCCACCAATCACGGGCCAGGGGTCCCACAGCAGGAATCAGGAGTGCTCAGCAAAATAATTTAGAACATACAAAACAAATTAGAACAAAAGACCTGGGGCCGTAACAACATTGTATTCTTGAGCAAGGCATTGAGCTCTCCTGGCCTGTGTGTGTGGTAGGAGCTGTGGGAGCAGGTTGGTGGCCTCTCTTGTGTCTACCTGCCCCAGGGCAGCTGTGGCGGCGCACTGTAGTGACTGACCTCCTGTGAGTCTGAGTGGATGAATAGTGCATGAGCTCTTAAAGCTCTGTGTGCGTAAAGCGCTGTGAGACTAATGCATGTTTATGATGTTCCAGATGAGAGGGAATTCATTTGCTCTGTTTATTTAACTGTCTGTTTCATTTCACGGCCCACAGCAGAACGCTCCTGACAACAACTAAAGACATGAAATGTCTCATTGTAGGTGCTTTTATTACTCACAAATTCCTTATAAACATGCATCCTTACTGTTAGTGGGCTCACCTCTCCACAGACCTGACCTGTACCTTTGCCTGGTTGTGGCCCACACAGAAAGGCTCTGGTTTCCTCTCCCACTAAAACATGTACAATAGACTCGTCCCTAATGAGATCCTTCATCTCAGAGGTAGAGATGCACTGATGCTGATACTGGTATCGAATATCGGTGCCGATACTGAAACATTAGTTGAATCATGTATTTGTTGAGTCGGTGTCCTGGTTGGGCCTTTAACTGGATGTAATAAGATGATTTACAGATTTATTTTTACCTAGAATGTCTCATAATGTTTGAACTTTTATTCATCCAAAGCTGTTCTATTGTGATGTGAAGAATAAATTACACAGTTACATAACACAATAGGATCTCTTGTGTAAGTGAACTATTTTAGATAGATATTACCCTACTCTGGTATCAGGTAATATCTGGTATCGGTATACGATATCGATACATCTACTCTACTCAGTGGAACAGAATAATCAACAGAATAATAAATGATCTGTATGATGTGGTATTTGGGATTAAAGCTCTGACATTTTTTTATGCAATTAAGTAAAAAGTTAAAGCCGGTGAAAATGAGTCTGCGTCTAATTATTAACAGGAAGCTCATTGTGGTGAATAATTAGGACGCTCAGAATGCATAAGGAGTAACTTTGGACCACTGCAAAACCATTTAAAATAAAATGAACTTCTGTTTTTCACATTTTTAAGACAAAAAATCAGATACAGCATATTTAAATAAAGTATAACCCTTTATTTACATTCTGACCACTCTTCTCTCAAATGCTGCTGATGTTCTAACATACAGTAGCTAAGACACAAGACCTTTAACTTATTCTTACCACCCACTTATCTCCGTGGAGACAAGGGGGTGGTGTGGCCGGAGTTAGAAATGTTCCGCACTGGCTCTTTAACTATTGTCCCTTACTTTGCAATGGTCACATAAGTTGAGTGTTGGTAACGTGTTCTCCTGTGCCCCTCGACAGTACCTGCTGAGGTGAGGTTCCGCACTGCTGCTCAGAATGGCGTCGGTGGTGAACTACGCCCCCCCCTGGTGGGTCAACCTGCTGCACCGCCTGCCCCACTTCAACCTGGACTTCCAGCTCGTCAGCAGCGACTTCAGACCTGACGACCAGGAGTACCAGAAGGTAAGAGCACGGGCGCGTCATCTCCCTCAAGTCCAGGTCAAGGCCGAATTATTTTTGTGTTTTTATGATCTCAGATTTTCACTTAATTTGACGGGATAATAGCTGTTGTAAATATACATTCTATTTTTACACCAACCAAGAAGCTGTTTGTGAAGAATAGTTGAAAAATATGTTGAAAATCACTAGGGTTGTCCTGATCCCATCACGTGATCAGAAATCGGCGCTGATCACATGACTGCAGACTCGATCCAGACTCGGACGTTATGTGCCGATCAGGTATTGGATGAATAATATACGTATGTAACACAGTACACACAGTACACAACAGTTTTTCTGAGGCGCAGGATTTGCTCAGGGACGTCCAGTCAGCGCGACTGTCTGTCTTTTGCGCCGTGTCGTGCTCGGGCGCTGTTACCTGTGGTCAGTGTTGGGAAGGTGACTTTTAAAATGTATTCTCCTACAGATTACAGATTACATACCTTAGAATGTAGTTTGTAACGTAATCCATTAAATTACTTAAAGTGAGTAACGTAATCTGAATACTTTGGATTACTTGATTTGCAGTAGAGAAGCAAAGACGAGGAAATCTTCACATAAGATGTTATGTCTGTTAAAAGAAAATAAAAAGCCCAGACTTTACTGAACCAAATTAAAAATATTATTGATAGAAGAAGAGGAGAAACAGTCCACGCAGCAGGATTTAGTCCTGTTAAATCCTGTTTGAGACATAGTTTAGACCTGGTTTTAGTCCTGGTTTAGTCTTGGTTTAGTCTTGGTTTAGTCCTGGTTTAGATCTGGTTTAGTCCTGGTTTAGATCTAGTTTAGACCTGGTTTTAGACCTGGTTTAGACCTAGTTTAGACCTGGTTTTAGACCTGATTTAGACCTAGTTTAGACCTGGTTTTAGACCTGGTTTGGACCTGGTTTGGACCTGAGTTTAGACCTTTAGACCTGTTTACCTGGTTTGGACCTGGTTTGGACCTGAGTTTAGACCTGGTTTAGACCTGGTTTAGACTTGGTTTAGACTTGGTTTTAGACCTGGTTTAGTGTCTGGCAATGAGTGGAATTACCAAAAAAAAAAAAAAAAGTGTGAAAATACCTCTGTGTAATCCATTTATTTCAACCAAGTAACTGTAATCCAATTACCACTCACTGAAACAGTAACTGTAACCGAATACAGTTACTCATAATTTGTACTCTGATTATGTAACTCTGGTACATGTAATCTGTTACTCCCCAACACTGCCTGTGGTTCTGTGGCCCGTGTTCACACCTGCACGGTCGATTTGGTCAAGGCACGGTGCTCTTCAGTGCTGTTGTGCAGTGGAGTTGGTGCTGTTGGTGGTGAGGGTCCGTCCAGTGGTGTGAAGTGTCTATTGAGCGGTGGGACTGATGTTGCGTTGCTCTGCTCTGGGTTTGTGGATGTGGTGTTGGTGAGGGGGAGAGAGGCTGTGGGGCTTCTGTCATCTCGTTTTTATTTGGTAAGATTTTGTATTATTTGGATTTCATAGATGAGCCTAAATGTTTAAATGTAATGCACAGGCTTCCATATAATATGAAATCTACAAAGTGTAGATTGTGCAGAGTCTCAGGTCTGATCTGGTTCTGGTCTGGTTCCTGTTTTGTTCAGTTCATTAAGTTTACTAAGTTACACATTCCAAGACCAGACTGTGGAAAATCAAGATTTTCAACAATGATGGTTCATGGTTAGAAAAGTTAATAATAAAATTAAAGTTTTGGACATTTGATTTTTCACACCAAGTTCAGCCCAAATATTACACACGAAATCAACACAATCTGATCCCCCACACACAAACATCCAGCGTCTTATTCTTTGCTCTTAGTTTCTTTTATAATATTTTATAGAAGTATCGGATCAGGACTCAGTATCGGCAGATACTCAAACTCAGAGGACTTAGACTCGGGGGCAAAAAATTTGACATCCTTAAAAATTACAGGAAATAGGGAGTTCTATTTTAGAATCTGTGGGAGAATTCTGTCCAAATGTTCAGCACAATTTACACAAAAGAAACACATTTTTTCAGACACTTAAAAACATATTTAAAGAAGATAAAGGTGTTTTCTTACTTTTTTTTGTTTATATCTGTGCACATTAGAGGAGTTTTGGCCCAGCGTACAAGATGGTTGCTAGGTAACAGTTACGGAATTCCCTAGCGTGATGTCATGATTTCCAACCAAGAAGTCAAATTTGAAACCTAAAAAAATTTTAGAACTGGGCGATTTTTACATCTTTTTTGAGTGAAATCTTAGATATAATGGACATAGCATAACATTTTATTAAAATGAGTTTTTCAATCTGTCATAGGCGCCTTAAGCTCTGGTTCAGTTATCCATAGTTAAACTTAAAGGTCCCATATTATGCCAGAAAAAAAAAAAAAAAAAAAAAAAGATTTATGTTTTAATGTTTCCTTTTCACAAACAGACCTGGAGTTGTGTTTTGTTTCATGTTTAACACACAAAGACTTTACATATTTGGGCTGCTTCTCAAACAGAAAATGCTCTGTTCCACCTTGTGATGTCATGTGGTAATACAGGAAGTGCTCCACTGTGTTTTTAAACTCCTACACCTTCACTAGAATCATTTTGATGATTTCAACCCTGGAATTGCCAATCTCTGCTGAACTAAAGGTAAAGGGTCACTGTTACTGTCAAAACTACCACTACATGACATCACAAGGTGGAGTTTGGAGCTATTTGGAGCTTTGGAGATGTAGACAGACTAATAATAAACAACAACTCAAACATGTGTGAATGAAACAAAACACAACTCTGGGTATTTTTTTTGCTCTAGTTCTGTTTTTTTCTGGTCTAATCCGGTTTGTTCCAGTTTATACCAAGTGTGTAGCCCCCGTCTGTCCCCCCGTCTGTCCCCCCTGTCCCCAACCCTCGTTTCCTGTCCCCCTCCCCCCATCCCATGTCCCTTGTCCTCTGTGTCACCTCCTCTGTTCCCTACGCACTGTCCTTAACGTCCTGCCTCTTACATCCTGAACCCTGTGTCCCTGTCCAATACCCCCGTCCCATGTCCCCTGCATCACCCCCTGTCCCAGCCTCCTCCTCCTGTCCCTCCATGTCCCATGCCCTGCATCACCCCCTGTCCCAACCTCCTGTCCAATACCCCCGTCCCATGTCCCCTGCATCACCACCTGTCCCAGCCTCCTGTCCTCTGCCCATGTCCCAGCCTCATGTCCTCTGCCCATGTCCCAGCCTCCTGTCCTCTGCCCATGTCCCAGCCTCCCGTCCCAGTGCTCTGTCCTGATGTTGACGTAGAGGTGCTTCGCGGGTCAGGCAGGAGCGCGTGGTCCGTCTCGTGCGGAGGACCAGAGGACAGGGTCTTCGGTGGACACTCCGAGCGGTTCCACTTGTGTTTTAATGAAGTGTGTTTGAACCTGGAGGCAGGAAGCTTGAAAAATCACTACAAATGTGATTCTGAGTCAAATCCAGAGAGCAGGTGGAGAGGAGAGAGACACCGCTCCACTTCTCACACTCACCCATTTTATAAAGTCGTTCCATAAGTTTTACATGATCATTTTTACTTTTGAAGTTCCTTGTACTCAGTGTTGGGAAGGTGACTTAAAATATATTCCCCTACAGATTACAGATTACATATCCCAAAATGTAGTTTGTAACTTAATCCATTAAATTACTTAAAGTGAGTAATGTAATCTGAATACTTTGGATTACCTGATTTGCTGTAGAGAAGCAAAGACGAGGAAATCGTAACATAAGATGTTTTGTCTGCTAAAAGAAAATTAAAAAAACAACTTTAGTGATCCAAATTAAAAATATTATTGATAGAAAAGGAGACACATCCGTGTAGCATGGATTAGTCCTGCTTTAGTTCTGGTTTAGTTCTGTTAAACCCTGATAAATCCTGGTTTAGTCCTGGTTTAGACCTGGTTTAGTCCTGGTTTAGTCCTGGTTTAGACCTGGTTTAGTCCTGGTTTAGTCCTGGTTTAGACCTGGTTTAGTTCTGTTAAACCCTGATAAATCCTGGTTTAGTCCTGGTTTTAGACCTGGTTTAGACCTGGTTTAGTCCTGGTTTAGACCTGGTTTAGTCCTGGTTTAGTCCTGTTTACCTGGTTTAGTCTGGTTTAGTCTGGTTTAGTTTAGTCCTGGTTTAGTCCTGGTTTAACCTGGTTTAGTCCTGGTTTAAGACCTGGTTTAGACCTGGTTTAGACCTGGTTTAGACCTGGTTTAGACCTGGTTTAGACCTGGTTTAGTCCTGGTTTAGACTTGGTTTAGACTGGTTTAGTCCTGGTTTAGACCTGGTTTAGACCTGGTTTAGTCCTGTTAAAGCCTGTTAAATCCTGATTTAGACCTGGTTTAGTTTCTGGCAATGAGTGGAAAAAAAGAAAAAATGGGATATATCCCAAAATGTGAAAACAGGAAAATCCCGCTGTGTAATCCATTTATTTTAACAAAGTAACTGTAATCCAATTACCACTCACTGAAACAGTAACTGTAACTGAATACAGTTACTCATAATTTGTACTCTGATTACGTAACTGGTACATGTAATCTGTTACTCCCCGACACTGCTTGTACTTGACTTGTGACTTGACTTCCTCATTTTGAAGCCTCTAATGTTTCACACACAACACACTTTATCAAATCGTCCTTGTGTTTTTGGAGAACTTCAGACGACATTCTTGAAACTATTACCAAACCAACCCTACGAATAATACAAAAGAATGTCATTTTCAACACAGAATTGTAGTTAGTGGTTTTCTTTAAGCAACACCATGTGGCCAAATACAAGACCTACTTTCTACTCAAACTATTCAAGACAAATGTTATGACAATTCAAACATGTACAGCAAGATTCTCAATGTATTTGTGAGCTCACAAACTCACGACAATCCATCTTAAGAGTCTCCCGCTGTGAGGCTCAAACTGGCCCAGCAGCGAACTGACCAATCACGTCGCAGCGTTGAGGTTTGTGTAAAGGCCAAAGGTGAAGCGCCCAAACAAACCAAAACAA